TGAATAGACTGTATGTGCGGTATGTATGGTGCGGTAGTAGCTGTCCTCCGTAGCGAAGGGGTTAAGAAAGGATGTTCAAACTAGAATAGTTTTGGGCCACAACTTTACGACTGTCAGAGATCAGTATTATAGCCAAGTCTATCTCAAGGCCTCGTGAATCCATGCAGTTCAATCTTAGATCAGGTTCAAAGCTATTCAGATCCATTGTAACAAAGAGATTCTTGTGTCCTTGTTCACCTCTGTTACTTGTCATTGTACTTTCAACTGACTTGATTTGACCTGTGATGAAGATGACCTCACTGCTTGTTGCCAGTACATCTTTAATTGCAACTCACTTCGGAGCGTAGACATGCTGCAATTTTCTATTTCCCTTTGCTTGCACCAACAGCTGAAAGAAAGAAAATGGAGCTAGCAAATCGCTACATGGAACTAAAAAAAGGTGGGAAAGTGGCCAAGTACCTGGCCAGGAAACGGAGGAAGAATGCGGCAAAGGACAGACGACATCTCCTCGAGGCCCACTCCAAGCAAAGATGACAACGAACATTTTTTCTTCATTTGCAAAGTGAACTTTAACGGGCAAAGTTCCTGTTTGGTTTACCACTCTGAGACACTGCAGTGAGATCATTTGACTGTCATCCAGACTCGAACCATGCTGAGCCAGATGATTACGTGTTTTCGGACGTTTGCAAGAAAATGCATGACGGCAGTAGGTTCACATCATGTAGTCATTCGCCATCAGGTCACTCACCATCAGGATCCAAGCTTTCTGTCATGAACCTGCTTCAAGTGACTCATCTTTTCGTATCACTCCGCCTTGACTGTACCCGCAGTTGGCATGTGTTTCATGTTGTGTGTGTTTCCTGTAGAAATCTTGTGTTCAAGGCCAGTCAAATACGGTAACTGTCTTCATGCATGATTACTGAAGACACAAACACGTACATGGTTTTGCTGTAGCTCATAGGCTGTTACAGCAACATGCCTGTACAGCCACAAGTCATGACACAAGTACGATGGCAAATTTGTGTGAGAGATCTTCAAAGATTGCATATTAGTTGTGGTTGTGTGGAGCATTTCAAATGGATAAATCTTTTGACGTAAACTTTCTGATATGCTGCATGCTCCTAAGTGTTCATGTCCGTGGCGATTCTTCATGGGAAATTAAACATGACATATCTTGTCCAAGTCTGTAATGAATTCAATTATGACACCTGTTTCTTATTCTCTATGCTGGTCGATTAATACACAGTCACATGGAGTTTTGAAATTTGTACCAGGTTTAACCAGACATGTGTGAAGATGTCGTGTGCATATGATTATGGTGTCCAAGTAGGCACTGTACCAAAAATCTTTGACCTGTTACAGCCCCCTCTAGAGGTTGCCGAAACATCACAAACATGGGCATGGCTAGACCATTTTAAATGGGGGGATGTATGATCATAACTTTTGCTGACGAACTGTTTGCAAATTTCACGAGTGTAATGGTAAAGTGTGATTCCTTAAAATGACACGTTACCTACCCCGCCTCCTTTTATTCTTCTACCTTGTCAATTATTGTTGGCAGCTCCATGATTTTGTCAACGACTGACTGATGGGGGTTGTAATGACTCCACACCCCGTTCTCTAGCAATGCCTGTGATCCTTAAACAAAAATGAAAAAAGTTTTTTTTATTTCTTACTTTGGACAAAGGTTTGTATAAAACACATGGACTGGCATTATTTGGTCACTCATTCATGCCTCTCCACTAAAGGAGCTGGGACCAGAAGAAAGTCCTTTTTCCTGTGGCTGAATGTGTGTATATATACATTTATGTGCGTATGAAGTACCATATGGAAGTCCATACAAGTTTTACAACACCTCTGTCTAAAATGTAATGTGAGAAATTTTTCAGGCTTTTTAATACTAAACTGTTGTTGATTCAATTACTAAACAATTCAACAAGTTTCCCCAATATTCAGTTTTTGAGTTGCTGTTCGCCGTTCTTATCATGTGAGGGCGCTGTTATCGTGTTTTCAAGAACAAGTGCCTGACCAGACATTAATCTCGGGAATTCATGTGTGCTTGATGTCTTGGAGTGCGTCTGATTCACACTGATGCGAAGTTCTGTACTAGCCTATATTAGTGAGCTACATGTGACTCTTACAGGCATCACTAGACCATTTTGAATGGGGGGGTTGCCACATGAAATTTGCCGACGGACCGTCATACAAAACAAGTGTCCTGTGGTCTGATTCCGTAGCGCGACACAGACTCCCATTTTCTCCCCTTCCTTTCATCTTCATTGCTCCATTCTTTTTTTTTATTTTGCTGACAGACCGTGATTTTGCCGACAAAACTAACCCCCTAGTGACACCCATGCTGACAGTGTTTCAGCCAACCAGGACTAAGAATCAGATATGCACGAGTGACCTCATTACTAGTCTATATGTATATGGCATGAAGTATTGTCCTCCTCAGTGTCGTAGATACTTGGCTGTTATTTTAATTTTGACAGTAGCTCTTAACATCAAGGGTTTAAGTCATCATCGTGGACGTCATCAAGGTCACATTGTCATAATTACATGTACCTTATGGATTGAGTTTCCCTGTACGTAATTAATATTCGTGATATCTAGTTTTGCCTTCTTTCTACTAGAACACAGTCACTAAGTCCGTTTGACGTGGATGTTTGCTACATTCATGGGCTACTTCCAAATATTCTGGTCAAGTTTGGGTGGCCTGTTCTTGACACGGGTGTGTTGTTCTTGCTCAGTGAACGGTGGGAACACGACCAAAGAACACATCTTAAGAGCAAGATCACACACCACTTCCTTGTCAGGTTTTTGCACGAACACACAGAAAAAGGCATGAGATTTTCATTTTTGAAGGCCAACAAAAATAGATGGATGACTGAGCTGCAGACGATGGAAAGTTTTGTTAGTTTAACATAATTTTCCATAACACACATTAATCTTGAGTAACATACGTGGTCACCACCGTGGCATGTTGCATGTCACTATGAGTGATGACCGTCACATGAGTGGCAGACCCACACAAGCTGCTCCTGAACACAACTCAGCCTCTGACTACAACTGTGAATACACGTGCCATATGAAAAATATTATCTGCCACTTCCTATAGATGCAAGTGATTGCTAGGCACAGACTGAACATTCAGATACAGCCTCCGTGTGGGACATGGCTAGAAAGTATATTGGCTGAATAATTTTAATTATTGGCAGATTACTATTTTGTCCATCTGGACAGATTACTTTTTCGCTCAGGCAGCTTACTACTCCATCCTGGCGGATTATTATTTCGCCTGGGCGAATTATATTTTCACCCGGGCGGAAAAGTACTTTGCTCAGGTGGATTACACCTTTGTTTCACAATTTTGCCATTAAGCTGCTCAGGCAAATAGAAATCCGGCTGGGCAAAATATTAATCCACCCTGGCAAATAGTAATATCCCCAAGTGAAATAGTGGGTCAAACTTTTCTCTTTAGTTAGCATTTCCATTATTATAACCCCAAACTGTAAGCGTTCTTTCTAATTGCATGATACATGACAATTTACTAAGTCTCTCCTTGTGGTAACTTTCTGTATTTACCCTGGAGTCAAAACTTGCATATCCAGTCGAAAACTGGCTTATACAAGATGAGCAAGATACTTTAAAAAAAACCATACTCTACAAAATAAATGAAATACAACCAACAATAGAGTACAATTCATTCTCACAAGGACACTCCATTAGTGAATTTGAATCACATTTAATCTATTCGAATTTTGTAAAATAAACCTGCATCAACTAAAAACACAAACACAAAAAGCTGATACGAGAAGAAAAACGTAATCATATTCTGTGTCAAAAATATGCACTAAATCACAACATAGGTCTAAAGATTATTTGTACACTGGCCTGTTTATGTATGTACATGATGCTAACTGCATGTAAATTTTGTAAACAGATTTTGGTGTGTGACTTGAAAGCACTTCTGCATGAACACAGCAGTTACGGTAAGTGCACCTATATCATGGAGGCAAGCTACCCACAATGCTTTGTGTTTCCCCTTCGCTGAATTTTGTAAACAAAGGGATTGGCAGCCACCAGCACTCTTGGCAGTGGATAAGAACCCAGATCCCAATCAGCCATTTTCCCAATGCCTCTTTCATATCAACAAAAGTGAATATGACTTGTAAATCTATACTACAGACAACACAGTGACCAAAGCTTCAAATATATCATAACAATAAACAGGTAACAACATGTTTAGACAGCAAATGAGGTATACATGTATATGTAATAAGCTTTTTGCAAGTTAACTTATGACCCACATCTGGTACACTGAGTTCTTTAAATTCACGTGAACATAACTTAAATTCTCCTTAGTAAAACCACTGTTGCTATACCTCGTGATTCGGGGCAAGCTTTTTGCTTGCTTACATAAGAGACACCTTGCAACAATACACTGTTCTCAATGGATAAGAAGGGCACAAAGGAACCAGTCCATTCCAGAGATGGTGGTCGCTATGCGAAAGCTCTCCCCAAATCACAAGGTATAGCAACAGTGTTTTTCGTCTGGGGAATTCAAATCGTTATGTTTATGTGCAGTCAGATAACACCAAATTTTATTCCAATTTAACTCGCAAATCACTTCTGTTTTGAGGGGTTTGCTAAATCTTGGCTTGGTCTGTTAGGGGGCTCTGCCTGTGGCATAAAAACCACTCAAATGTGTACGCCAGAAATGTTTGAATTGAATGACATCACTCCATCTGTTGAGAGTAAACAGTTACGTGTGCCTCGAGCAAGACATGCCTTTACTAAGCCAAAAACTCCCAAGTCAAAAAATAGGAAAAAAAATCAGGCGAATCCAGAGACGAAGCCCAGATTTGGAAAAGCCCCATGGATCCAGTAGATTAATGTACGGTGCCCTTTATCTGTCAGCAAATTAAGACAGATCATATTGACACTAACCATTTTTGAAGTCACAGCATTTCAGCCCTAAAAAAAAAGTACACCAAATATAAGCTTACATGTATGAAACATCTGCGAGTCCACAAGGATAAAAAATTGAATGTACACATTGGAGCAATATTTGTGCACTGTACAATTGTAACATGGGAGAAAACAAACTCTGAAGCACCAGTCTATTCGAGAGAAGTAAAACCCATGCAAAAAGTGCTGCATTGTTAAACAACATGGTGGGAAAAATCAGGTGATAAAAGGAAACAGAAAAACGAAAATGTTATACAAGTGTCCAAACCTGACAGTGTACACTGATCAATGTACATATTAACAACTTTCAATAAACAGTAGGAAACGTGACCATCTCTACAGTGTTCACAGCAACAAAATCAGACAGAATACTGTACATAACAGTGAATAGCACAAGACATCTGGAACAACTACATGTACAATCAGTGGCATGAATTATTCATACATGTATGGGAAGCCAAAGACGATAAAAATAATAGCTAAATGTTACCTCTAAAGGTTCTGGCAACGTTGGTGTTCTACATACAGGTATGTACACTTGGTGAACAACTCAGTAAAAGAAATGCAGAACATTTGTTAGAATACTGAATCACAGTTCTCCTGACTTTACAAACTAGAATATTCTAAATTTAACATACAAAGCACTTCTTTAGTCTAGTTAGTTACTTTGCTTATATCTATATCAAAAAATTAAGAGACATTTCCTGTGAACATATGTAGCTAGCATTAAACCAAATACATGTAGTAATAACATGTTTGGATATTGGGGAAAATGTATCGATTCTGAAAATCCTAATGTAACAAAATCCACTTCCTTGACAGGCAAAGTTACAAAGACCATGCAAATTGCAAAAACAATCATTTCAACAATTCTACGAATAAATACATTATCCTGACTCATTGGGCTGTTACAAGAAATGACTGCAGTGTTTTCGGATGGTTAAAGCAACTAATATCAAAACTGACATGGTTTCTAATATTAAAGATCTGGAGGCACATGTAATGCCATGGGCTTGACCAAGACTTCAGGGTAATTTATGTTTCACTTTACAAAGTTTAAAGTGCATGTCTGAAAATATTGCCAAAATAGACATGGGTGTGGCAGTATTCTGAATATTCCATAACACCACTACTACATGCACATGTTCATCACAAAACACACAATTCCTTTTTAGTAAAACATCCTGAAAGCTGATCAAAGGGGACTTAGAATGCATCCGAGTGTTGACGTTCACTTATGAAAAAAACAGCATAAAAACCAATTTCACAGTACATTTATATGTTCATTTTTTTTAATATTAAATAAAACTGTGTCTCAAATAAGACTAAATCTGAGTAATACACCAGAAAAAAAAGATCAGCATTTCTATATGTACGTACGTGTACATGTATGTCTAACTCCAGATAATTTAAGTACAAGTATGAAGACCAGCTGTCAACTGCACCTTCAAGGAACCTTATCAATTGAAGCAAGTTGTAAAACTCCGAGGGAGCAATGAAAAGAAAAAAGAATAACCTCAAAAAGATGTTATTTCAGCTTTGAAATTCCAGAGTTGAAGAGCCCTTACATCATTGGGTTTAAGTTTGTGGTTTGGATTGTGACACTAATAGACTGATATTAAATTTCATGATCCGAAAAAATAAAAACAAAACTAAAAAGCAATAAATGTATTTACATTACACTATGTATTTAATGTGTTAAATAAGCTCACAATTAATATAAATGTAAAGTTTTTCGCTAATAAACTAAACCACTCACAGACACTGCCTGGAATACTGCTGTCATTCTGCACTATTTACATTTTGGTATTGCGTTTCAATCCCAAAGCTTAAAAGGGAAGTTCTGTGTCCAGAACTTGGTATATTTTTTTTCCTGGAGTTATGCTTAACACAACTATGTTACCAGTCAAAATGAATCCTAAGAAATCCTCTCTGCTAATAGAAACCATGGGCGACTGTCAAAAGGATTCACTTCTAATCAAGACTATTGTTACATGGTCAGACTTGGGGCAAAATGCCTCGTATATGGGTCATAGAGTTGGAGGTACATGTACAATAGGCAACTACAGTAGCTGGTGAGCTGATGTGTCGTGAATCTACAATACCAGTGCGGAATAGATGGATGGCCAATGGACAGAGGGCAAATGATATTAGGTATGTTTAAAACACAATAAGTTCACATACACTGTGCTCCAAAGGCAAAGACGCAACTCAGCATGTTGAGTACATGTAACTGTCTGCACCTCCATGTACTTGAAGGCATCATGTGCAATGAATGAATGGAGCTAAAATATGGCACACAAGCCCACACTTGGCAACTGCGGTGCCATGTACATGTAGGACCATATGACTGTAAGGGAGCATCTCAACATCTTGGAATGTTCCTCTTCTATTAGAGCACTCCTTTGGAAAACGAGGCATATATCCACTTGAAATCAGCTGTCTCCTCGGCCAGAAATACTATACTGTTCCTGAAGTGTCCATGCATGTGGGTGATGCGGCTATAAAGGAACATTCATAGGTCCTCAGTTATCCCAAGTGTTTCAAGTTTGAACAGGTGGTTTTTTTTGCTGAAAAGCAGGTTTTATTCCAAGAGTTCAGGTGTACTTTTAGATGCCATGGAGCTATAACAACTAGTTATATAAAGTGGGCCAATGCATGAATGTGTGAGGTATGATGTACTTATCCCTCCAATATTTCTTCCCAAATTATCTTGAGGAAACTTCACCTTTAATCAAAATTATTTCTGGTCTTCTTGCAAATAATATATTTGCGAATTCAGCATGCAAAACCATACACACCCTGTAAATATTGTTAATTTAAATTCAACTTAATTTCAACACAAAAATACATGTTACCTAGTAATGACTCACGTACCTCATCATTTGTATAACATGTACATATATATACATAAGCAATTCTACCTTTTTTGCTCCCCCTTCTATGAACTATTTAACTAGTTCATTTACAAATTACTTGATCATGTTATTTCTGTTAATAGCCAACTTATGTCAGAGGGAAGGAAGGCTGCCCTTCTTTGCGTAGATTGTATAAATTATTGGAAACCAATCACCCCACACATCAGTACAGGCATACATGTGTATGTTCCCTACATGTAGACATGGGGATTACACACCTGTTGATAAAAGTTATTATGGGGACAAAGTCTTCATGGGGACTGGGAATGCCCTATTTAAGTCCTGCCAGAATTTCCAAAGGTAATTGCCCCCTAAATGAAGAGCTAGCCAGGGCATTTGAAATTATATTTCGTCGATCACTACTTTCCCTAAAAACCTAAACCAGATTTCTCTGCTCGTTTCCAGTTTCTGGATACACAAGTATCACAGAATTGAAGAGAAGTGGGTTTGACTTTTCTCGACTTGCAGGCTTTTAGAAAACACTACGCATTGTCAAGATGGTATAAGCAAACACACCTGTATTGTGGCATAGAAAAATGCAGAAAGTACATCTACAGTAAATAACACAATAGCCGGTGCTTGTGTACAATTCACGCAGCTTTCAAAGTACAGCCCTAACCCTGTATATGTTCAACTGAATCCAAACACCTGCAAGTACGCTTTGAAAGCTACATAAATGTTTTGAGCATAAATTGAATGAGGCTTTGCTAAAAACATTTGCTGAATGCACCGCACACAATTCAAAGATGGCAAGAATTTCATTATATTTTCTTTTCAAATTCCAACTATTGAATACACTTGTTACTAAGCCCCTCTCCCCCCCCCAAAAAGTTCAGCTTCAGGATCTTACAACCAACGCAAAAGCATGTGACGAGTCCACTTCCTTAGTGAAATGAATCTCTCTTGAAATTTGTGTCTGTCACGTGTAGAAAGTTTGGATGAAAATTTCCAAAGTATACATACATGTATGAAAAAATTGTGTACTTGTGTCATAGTTGAAGATTTAAATCAGAATACCTTTCATCATTTTAGACAAATAACTCAACCTGAAGTGGAGTTTCATGTAGACCACAATACATGTACGAGTTCATGTACAGTACCTATGCTCTAGAAAATGAGGTGGAATATGGATGTACAGCACATCATCTTGAGAGTGCTGGGAATTATTTGACACCATTCTGTAGCAAAATCATCTTCCTTGACACAACATCAACAGCAGAGGGATCCAAGTATCCCCTGGATATAATCAGCTGTAGAGCCTCCACGTCATTGACAGATTTGAGCGCGTCGAGCTGGTTGTGCAACAATTCATTTGCCGAGACTCTCTGGCCTTCTGGGTTGCTCCAAACTCTCTCCAGGACCCCATTCTGGGTGATCTTCAGGAGAATCTCGCACGCCCGCTTCTCCAGGGTCTGTTCCTTCCTCTTCCGCTTCTTACGCAGGTTTTCCTTTCGGCGGCGTTTCAGCCTGCGGACCTCGGCAGCTGCAGCCGACTCCTGGGAGAAATTCTGCCGCAGGTGGGCCAGTGTCTGGTTGACGCAGGCCCTCGTGGTGATGAGGGTGGTGTAGAGGAGATCCACCCGAGAGAAGCAGTTTTCCAGAAACTTGAACTCGTTACTGCAGGGTTCTGCATTGACGTTCTTGGACAGCAAATTACCCTTACGGTGCAAGAGCTCCGTCCTAGATGTAGCAACTCTGTTCACCATTGCATCCATGGTCACCACCGTAGCTTCACACCGCTTGACATCTTCACTCTTTGCATTTGTGGGGATTGTCTTGTAGCGGGTGACATTCTGTGCCACTCCACTATTGGGGTTTGACATCAAGTTCTTAACGCGTGTCTCAAGTGTCGACACGTTGTTGTGAATATCCCAGCGCCATCGTTGCTGTTCAGAGACATACGCCTTGAACTCACCAATCCCACTGAACTTCTTGTACTCTTCATCAAAGAGCTGCCTAGCGACGTCATTTGTGAAATTCTGCCTTTCATTAGTGGGCTTTGTCACTGTGAATTCGTCCAGGGATGGAAGTGAAGATGGCAGTGAGGAAGTACCTGCCGCCTTGGGCTTGGACTTAGGGTGAGCACCAGACACAGAGGGGGCAGTGGAACTACTGGAGAGGGAGTTGGAAAAAGGTGGGCCACTGGTCACTGGAGGGGTGCTTGTGCATGTGCTTTGGGGACAACTGTTTTCTGGTTGGTCGCTGCTACTGGATGCCCCTGGTGTGTTTCTTCCACTGTGACTGCTGGTGCCCATGTGGGAGCTGGACACAGTGTTAGTGGATGGCGGATGGGTACTGTTACCCGGCAAGGAAGTGTTAACAGGAGGTGTGTTGGTAACTGGTACTTGCTGTGATGAACTTGCGTTTGTCTGAGATGAGTTAGCACCTTGATGGGCTGGAGGTGGATGTGCAAGTGCGATCGGCTTCACGGAAGATGTATTTGGCTGAAACGGAGACACGTTGGGCTGAGAAGGATTTGCATACAGGCCCGATATGCTTGTATACTGGTAAGGCTGGGACATGACAGGGGCCGTGAACGGTCCAAAAGGCGCCCCTCTGTGTCCTGGTGAGACCCCAGGCTCAGTCTGGTTAGCGTAAGGCCCAGGGGAGATCATTGGTCCAGCATGGGAGGGAACAGACTGTGCAATCAACTGACCTGGGTGGCCACCGGACAAGCTAGGCGCAGAGCTACTGATGTTACTCATGGTTGCTGGTCCAGTGGACGTATAGCCCATAATAGGAAAAACTATCCTTGGAATACCTTGTCCTGTAAACAAGAAGCAAAAACAAGAGATTTTATTAGAATTATTTCAACAGCTGACAATTTTTAAGGATTTCACTTTCAAGGAGGCTGACAGGCACTCTGCATGTCACAAAACCGTCAAGCTACAATGCACCCAATAATACAAAAGATGAAAAAGTGACACACAGGTACTTTTCCATTTTGAAAGATGGTAGTTCTGCAGCGATTATCCAGGAGTTAGGCCCCAAATGCCTGTTCCACTTTTAGGTGACTGTTTTGTTTCCGAATATTAATCACACAATATTTGGCTCATTTCAACGGGGTGGATGTTAAATCTAGGGAGAAAAAGACTCAGAGAAACGGGCCAAAATAAAAAACGTTTGGTAGCTGTATCCACATTGAGTTAGCTGCGCCTCTTAGGAAACAGTCATCAACATGCTGGTGCAGACACCACATGCTTATTGTGAATGGTCCGCTCGAAAATAAAGTCTACATCTGTGACTGTATAGTCTCCAGGTTTTTGTCAAGTCTGATTGGTTTTCACAGTAAGTGGCAAAATAAGGGACCTGGTGACAATACTGTCATGGGCGTTAAAACATTTCTGAGTGAATGGCAAGTGTGTGCTGTTCCAGCCCACAACTGAACCTCACAAAATTGAATTAAGTACCAACTACTTGGCCCCGTTTTTTTTAGTTCCCATTTTTTCCCTGACTTGGCAGACATGTCACTTGTCAGGCTAACGGCGGATACAACTTAATGTGTTCATCTACATGTAGGAGCTTTCACAGCCCGATGTCACAGTAAGGTAAAAACCACTGATTGTCATAATGTAGCAGTTTGTTTTTGCTGATGTCATGGAGAGTTGTGTCGTTCCATTAGACTACCCCGCTTGAAAGTGTTGAAATCTGTTTTTTCCCCAACATATTCATATTCCATTTAGCCCCACTAGTGTGGCACGGACTCTTACTCCTGATACATCCTTAGCCACACATCTGTATGTGCAATTTCATATCGGCGTATTGAACATTTCGGCGCACCCACTTATCATCGTGGGCGCAATTTCTTTTGCACACGAACATGATTCTTGACCTTTCAGCTTTCTAAAAATCATTTATTGAATGATTTCACTCACGTTATTGAGGTATTTTCCAGTCTTTTTGCCTTTATCCAGTCAATCTAATGGGCTCACTCTCACAGTCGCCATCTTTAAAATAAGGTCGTTGAACATTACGTCACTTGACCCCTCATCGTCTTGACGGCTCTTCCATGTCAAGACAGCTAAACTGCTGCTAAAGTTTTGGAAGAGCCCATTGGTACATGTAGTATCTTATTGCTCAGTCTGTTTATTACATGTCTTGAAATAGAAAAGCTGTCGTGCCACACTAGTGGGGCTAATTCCATTGCTTGGGATGATCACCACAAAAGTGCTAGGCATGCTAGGGCATAGATCTGAATTAAGTAGTAGACCTAGGCCTAAAAAAGTTCCATATCCAGACTTCACTGACACCCTGTGCACAAACTATAAAAGACTGGCTTGAAAAATTAAGTGTTTCAAGTGAATTTTTCAACAATGTTCAAAACTTCAATAGGCGTAGGCCTACTTTCCCTGCTAAATTTGACTTTTTAGGACATGTTATCCCTTTTGACGGCTGACAAACCACTGTAAAGGAAAATTAGTGATTTCTGTGTATGGAACACTTACCTGAAACTCTATTCTTTACAAATTTATTTCTATATTAAAAGAAAAACAACATTTAAACAATTTGTCCGGAAATTGGACAACTCCCGCTGTGCAGCAACGTCACACCACACTGAAAAATGTTTTGCCGGACCACAAAAAAATGCATTCATACACAGACGGTACCACCTACAGCAATAAAATTTCGTCTTTAGCGTCACAATATCATTCTCTACAAATAGATTTTATCAAAGGATAAAACACAAATCCCTGAAAATATGAAAAATCGTCATATTTGTCACGAAATTTTCCACTCACCAGGGAGCTCATTTTCTGTCGCCATCGTGCGCGAGGGATGATGGGAAGTTGCAATGTATAACGAACAATCCTATTGGCTGGCACGGGGTCAGCTTGGGTCACGTTCTTGGGCGCGGGGACTTTCCAGAAAATTGGCCCCATGGTAATTTCCTACACTCATAGGTCATGTTTGCTCCCCGATAAACCTACAAACTGACCGTACAAAATGGTAGACAAGACAGCACCTGGTTCAGCACTTCGTCTGGAATGGGTGTACGGATACAGGGGCCATCAGTGCCGTAATAACCTGTATTACACGGCGTCCAAAGATGTGGTGTATTTTGTTGCGGGCGTCGGTGTAGTGTACAACGTCAGGGAGCACTCACAGAAGTTCTTCCTGGGGCACGACGATGACATCGTTAGGTAGGCCTACGTGTTCTGTACATGTACGTGCATGAAAGCGCATGAATGGAGAACTTCCCATGGGGTGTGTACAACCGTGCGTTCAGCACATGTGGGGTGGGATACTCAGTGGTTATTAATACACGAACATGTTGGAGATACGGTCACTGGTTAATTAGGCCTAATATCAGTCGTGTCTGTCACAGTCTGTGCATCATGTGCATTGCAGACTTGAAAAATAACATGAACAATTACAATGATGCCAGGGAGGCTCATAAATTTTTGAACTTTTTTTTTGCTTTCTTTTGAAGTGATCATCTTGGAGTGGATTTCATAAGAAACATTTTGATAAGTTTTGATTCCATCGGACTCTGCAAAGTAAAGAAATACTCTGCAAAGCAAAGAAGTACTGATTTAAAAGAGGGATACATGTATTTTGAGATGCATTGAGATGTTTTGTGTACGTGTGTAATGCAGAGCAAACAGGACCAAATGTGATTTTTTTTTACACAAAAATGAGAGTGGATTTTGACTGAAAAGCTTAAAAATTCACATTTCCATAAAATGTTTGTTCTTATTTGTGCCTTATTTCAATGAATTAAATGCTGGCGTCGCTTGAAATTTCCAAAATTTTGAAATCGGAAAAATCACAATTTCCTATTCAAGAGAATGAGTTCCCAAGTAAACAGCGCCCTCGCTCATTTATGCATGTCCCAATCATAATGAAAAATAATGAGACCTGTGTCCTTTTTTTAAAATTGGCCTCAGCCATGTTACTGTTAGTACCTCACACCACTGCCATGACTGCCAGATCTGCATGTTGTTCGAGTGTTTATAATTCCACATCTTTGTTATTTGGAATGGTTGTCCGACCATGTCCAAACAAATGTTACAAAAGATGATTTGCAGAATTCTATTTACTTGGACTACTTCACTGCTACCTTTCAAATTAAATTTTTTTTTTCTCTCTTTCCCTGTGTCAACTGTAATCATGGTAATAAAATTGTTAGGTGTGATTGGTCTATCAATACGATTGGGGTATCATGTTGCAGATTAAAGCCTTTGGCCTTACATGTACATGTACTTCCCTGTCTCTAAAGTCTTCCACAACATTGCTTTAAAGAGAATGTTGTATTCTGCTTTCACTTTTTTCATCGTCTGTTATCTCACTATAGGTCAGTCATTGTGGTTGAGAGATATTTCCAATTGCTTGAACTTGTTGAGAAATACTTTGAAAAATTTTGTGACTCCTCATAGACTTCGTACCCAACCTCTGACGTAAAGTCACGCCGCAACATTCTGTCGGAAAGAAAACCAAATCGGTGACGGTAGAATCATTCTCAAAATGCACAGTGAGATCAATAGATTGCACAAAGATCAAGCAATCGCATACACGTAGATTGACTGATCGTGCCCAACATACATGTCGATTTGGGAAGAACACAAATTTAAGTACGGCAGTAAATATACAAAACTTGAAAGTTTTCACTTTCCCCCAAATACATGTATCAAAACTTCCATCGCTCTCCAGTATCATTGTATGAACAACGAGACATTGAATGAACCGGTACGTGTACTTGTCAAGGAAGTTGCATTTGATCATAGCAGAATTGTACAAGATTTCTTTGAGAAGTTTGGATTAAAATGCCAAGCCCAGAAGGATTAACTTGTACAGTGTCAAGTTTCAGTACAGTTACTGGTTTTGTTCCCTAGTTGCTGTTGAAACTTGTCCCTTCTTGTAACACTCTTTTCACCTTCTAGATTCCAAAATATTTCACTGGACATACAGGAAACCAGTGGCATGTATCAGTATGCTCAAGGAATTTCAAACCACATGTACGTACATGTACATTGTACATTCATGTATAAAATGCATGTACCGGTACATGTAATAGGTACTGGTTTCAGGGTTGGTTCATCATCAATATCGTCATCGCTTCTTGTTTATTTTTCCACATAACAATACAGTAAATATCACAGATTTACTGCAATAAAGTGGATGGGGCCTATAAAAAGCAGAGCTTGTCTTGAAGTGGCTCCCCATAAATTAAGTAATATTACAAACACGTGCTTATACGTGCTTTCACAAACATAACAGAAATTACAACGGACAAAACATAACCAGTAAAACCTGTCAACCGTAACCCCCTAGCATATATGTTGGAGGATTTAGGAATGTTAGGGCTATTGAATCATTAATTTACAGGTAATTATTCAGTAGCTTGGTTTTTATATTTGTGTTTGAATAAGGATAGACTGTAAATATTTTTTAACAAGAGATCTAGTGAATTCCATAGTTTAGGGCCTTCATTTTTTGAAATGCATTCACTGTGTTTTTTCCTTGAAAACCTTCCACACATGTACATGTTCATGTCACGCTCAAATTCAACAGATGCAAAAATCTGGCTTTACCAATTACACATGTGTACGAAGTACATTTACCTGTACTTTCATCTAACATCATGTGCACATGTATACTCGTGTGATTGTTCTACTGTGAGTCATACTTCAATCACATGTAGTGTACCCATACATGTGCATGTTAGGGGACCGCTGTGTGCTAGCAGTCTCTACTGATCCAACTTTTTAACTCTAATTGCTCCAGATATTTTGAAATCTGCTCTGATGTTTTCAGGATAAGCATGTACATGTATATGTATGAACATCAAAGCCTATCCACTGTCCCTTCAAATGGAGTGTGATGAAACTTTGGTAGGAAACATGATACATGTACATGTAGCTAAACACAGAATTTGCCATCTGTTTCCTGGACAGTGCTCAATGGTGCATTCGAAGGGACTTTCAGGGAGGATTTTAGCAAAAATGTCCAGGAGTTGTGAGTGCACATACATGTATATACATGTTGAGCAAATACATGTATTTCCAGAAATACATGTACAAATACTGCTGCAGATGTACATATACATGTATGTACTTTTATGTGTTTTGTATCTAATCTATGTTTTTATTCTTTGAAATCTTCCAAGAACTTCAATAGTTACATACCGATACTGTACATGTACATTTTTATGTACATACATGTATCTGTACAATGTACAATGACAGTATACATGAATCTGTACCGGTATCTCCATAAATGTACATACTGGTATGTACAAATGTATATGTGTCATTAGGCCACAGCTACCGGTAATTCTCCCCCTTTCTTTCTATCTTTTCCTGTTTAACCCTTTTTAAATGAGTTTTTTTTTCATCTTATTCTCCATGTGGGTTTTGGCTAAAGCTACATGTACATTTTATACATGTAGCTCTTTCCTTGAGGATCCTGTTGGGAGCCATTTTGTGGCAAGGTGCTCATGTTATGCCATTTTCTCACACGGCAATGTTGGATTTCTTTGACACTAAGGACAGTGTTTTCAGGTACATGTTTATTTGGACTTTCAAAAAGACAGTTGTGAGAAATTACCACAAGCCCCAAAAATTCCAACAAATGTGTCTGTAGCATCTGCTTTGGAATTTGGAATAAAGCCAGATGCCATCTTTTATTGTATGGAAGTTCCTTACCTTTTATCTACCCTGTTAAAATGATTAAATGAAGCTGCTATGGACTTCACAAATAATGGCAAATCAGGAATAATGTTGCTCTCCCCTTATGACCTGGAAAGGAGTGCACCAATTCCCTTTTTCAGGATTGAATGGAGGAAATGTGAAATTGTTAAAAGTTTCATTCAGAAAGAAACTTATTACACATATATACCGGTACATGTTACATACATATACATGTACAATGTACATGTTTACATTTTTTCCAGTCTTTCGCAACCACACTGTCTGAATTGTAGTTGACACGATTGAGTCATGCTACCTGCCACATTTACAAAATGGATTACAATGCCGCAATTGAAATTGCCCCAGTTTTAAGATTTGGACCATCCCCACGACCCCAGGGATTGTTACAACCAGGGTTGTAGTCGGGTGGATCACAAGTCTCGTCACATCTAATAGGAGGAACAATGTCAGGACTGCTTTGGGCACAGTTCATTTCAATACATTTACATGTAGCTTGTGAGTTGGCTTAAGGTTGCATGACTTACATGTGCATGTGTAGTGAACTCAAATGTACAGGTGTAGCCGTAGTCACAACAGCTGGGCTCAAGCTGAGGAGTCACAGGTGTTCATGTTGTCATCTTCAACTGTAATCGTGCAGAAGACACTATGACACTGCTTTCTTGAGACTGATTTCACCAAAAGATTCATTTGATGGCAAGCTTTAGAAAGCAAACAAACATCTCTGGAGGAATATCTTCTAAACTTACTTAGGAGTTAGCACACCCTGCAATTACAGTGTTGCTGAGATGTACATGTACCTGTAACCCGTGTGTACATTGCCATGTTTCAAAATCTGGTTAGAACTAAAGTACATTGTAATGCCTAGAAAATTGACAATCTAGTGATGAAAAGAAAATTCTGTTTATATGAAATATGTGTGAGCAGTTTGTGTTTTGTTATTTGATTGTTCAAGTTTTTTGTGTGTGTTCTTTTGGTTTTTGGGGGGGTTCTTCTGATATTGGAAGAAGAATGTGCTTTCTTGCAATGATGGCATTTGTTCATCTTACGTGTCTGACACTACATGTCTTAAAAAGTACAAAAAACCAGCTGTACTTTGACTCGTTCAGTCAGACATGCATGCAACATCTGTGTATGTACAGTTAGTTTCAGTTCCATGTTAGTAGTGTGTGTAGATTGTTCATGATGTTTTCATCACTAGTGATTTGCATTCACGTACATATACGGTAATCTGAAGAGGTTTCAGTTTGATTTTGTTTGCAAGTTTGTTGGGATTTCCAGGACTTATTAAGGAATGATATCGATTTGTTGATTCCATGTTACACATGCACTGCAATTGGTTTCATGTACATGAATGGAAAAGGCCTTTAAAATCCCTTATCATGAGATTAAAGAAGAAAGCGAAATTTTAATTCTGTGGCATTGTACTAAAAAATATTCTAAGAGCCCTGCAGTATCATTGTGATGTGCATGTACTCTAAGTACATGTACATTACACATGTACATGTACCTGGGTCACTGGTACCGTTTGCTTTAGTCAGCCTAACCATCCCATATCCTGCAAAATCCTCTAGGAATCCTAGAGTATTTTGCAGTACGTGTATTAAGGTGCTTAGCCATCTGACTACTATTATTTCACATTAAATGGCATGATGACCGAGGAAAGTTGCCATGTACAATGTCCGTGTAGTGCAGTAAATGGGTCATTGGTCTCTTGAAGAGTTGACTGAGAGTTTTGTTGGATTCAGGAAGGTTCTGGCGGTATCCTACCAGAATTGTCTGAAGAGTTACCATTTAAGGTTGCACATATGTAAACCATGTAAACAGGTACATGTAGTAAGGACCATCATTTCGTATTCCTGTTCAAGCATGATTATCTGATGTCTATAATATAAAAGAATCTTGAATTAAGCGTGCATACCTGCTGTTTGTTCTCATCATTTTCAGGCCATATGGTAGTCATCTAATGTTTAAATTTTTTTTCTGAGACTTTTACCAATTACCCTTTTTGAGGAAAAATATCAACTGTGGGAAAAACTGTAACCATTTATAGTTGCTCAAAACGGTCAGGAGTGTAAACCGGTAAGTGTAATCTTGGATCTACATGTAGCAATATCACATGGAAGTTTGTTTTATTTAACTTAATGTACACATACGTACATGTTTACTGGTTGATGTACAAATACATACATAGATAATTACCTATTTGTAACTATTGATTTTGCAGTAGGATACAAATAGTCATCTGTAATCCAAGTACATGTACGTACATGTACAATGTACATGTAGTTTTCTGAAAAGGAAGCTTGATGTGAAAATGTTTGTACATAAATTAGCATAAACTGAACATGCATACATGCGAAATATATATTGATGTAATACACATGTATGCAAGTACATGCGTGTAAACATGTATGTGCACATGTACGTTCGTTGACTGTGTAGTGTCTATAAAAAGAGCCTTTTGCCTTGATAGTAAATTAGAAATAATTTGTGAATGTGTTGACTTGAGATGCATGTACAGTGTACCAATACACACATGTACAGACACATTGCAGCATTGATTGTAACCAAAACATGACAATATTACCCAACTTTAACTTCACGCGACATTGAAAGTTCATGCTGGCTCTTTAAATTTGCCTTTCCCTGAGTGGGATTTTACATGTAATCTGTGATTTTTTATTTATGGTGTGAGCACCTATACCTGAAGTTTGGCAGCTTTCTAGAAACTTCAAAGGTCAAAGCAATCCCCTCCTCTCTCTCTTGGCTGGGGAGGAAGTCACCGATATATCTGCCTCCCGTCAAACTCTCTGATGAGTTTTGCCAGCGACCTTTGATATTCCTGTCCCATTTCCTGTTCTTATGCTCATCGGTAGGACAGCTTGTACACGTACATGTACACACATGTGTGCTTGCAGCTACTGATGGGCAAGATATTGGTGGTATTTTGAACAGGTCTATAGCATTTTCACATTGTCGCATCCAAAGGTGTACACATACATATACATATACAATTATAAATTGTTTGTACAACATGTCTTGAAGCAAGTCTGCTTAGCCACACACACATGTATACATGTGCATGCATCTCTTGGTTCACATGCTACACGTATACAATTTGATTCCATAATGACCACATTAATCACTGCCTGTAAGTACACGAAGCTGTGCACGTACATGTATATTGTACTGTACTTGGGCATACATGTACATGTACGTACATGCACGTGTAACAAGGTACCAGTGTATGCATGTACGGGGTACATTGTACATGTGTACATGTACATGTCTGTATGCATGGTACATACAAAATTAAAGTCCCTGGACTATAAACATGTGCCATTAGTTTGAGGTACATGTAGATGTACATGTCTGGATCTTTCACCTTCCTGTGGTTGGGACTTAAATCAAACTTACATACACATACATACATGTACACTTGTAGACTGTACACACCTGCCCATGGAAGTTCTACATGTAAATTAAGGTATTCAAGGAAATCACTTAAGAAGCAATCTCAAATTACCGGTGTGTTTCGTGTATGTGTATGTTTATTGTAGTCTGCAGTCAGTAACACCTTTTTAATGTACTATGGAAACGTCCATTTATATCTGGCCAATTCACCTATAGCATACCGGTACACATATTGGTGGAGATGTCTCATTACCAGCTCAGTTTGGAATAATTCCCAAACAAGGTATTTCTAAGCTCAAATGTTAACCCCCAACCAAACTAATTCACCAACCAATACATGCGTAACTATTGGCCATTGGAATTGGGGCCATTTTCTCAAACCTTGGCCACATTTTTAACATCATCTGGAGCTGTATATTATAGGTACTGTACATGTGTACGTACATGTACCAAGGATCATGTAAAATTACCGCACCGGTACCTTTGAGAGCAATCTAGCAATTTAATTTGCTATTTATTAGTACATGTACATAATTAATATGCTATTTATTATGTATATGTGCATGGGTAATTTTCAAGAGATAGTCATACTATACATGTGATCTTGAAGTAGTTTTAAGGCTTGAAATTTGTATGCAAGCTGCAGCAGACTACATGTACAAACACTTAAGACTGGCTGTATTTTTGAAAAGGCAGTATTGTGCAAATAGCTCGTAGTTGGGTGATGCACATTTGTATTCATCATTTTGAGTTGGTCCCCTCACAACCTCAAACTGTGACTTGGCATGCTTCTAGTACTTACATGTAATGTATCAGCATGGATTTGAGGGCTTGGGGGTGTGGCATTGAGAGAAAGGCCAGGGACTGACGTGTATTCTAGATTTGAAAGCCTGCAAGGTGTCCAAACTTACTGTGAATTGAAAATTGTGTACATGTACAGTACATGTGCTTCAAATCAGAATGGTGTACATGCATGACATGAGCACGTGTCTGAAAGATGCCTCTTGGTTAACCAAGAATTGTCGGCTGCAGTAACTCTTGATGTTGAAAACCTAAAAGTTCAATTTCAACAGTGGAAATGTGTTTAGTTTTTGTGTGTAGAAATATACATGGACATGTACACATGCTATTCAGGCCCAGAGTAAGATATCTCTGTTGTTTAGGATCCATGTTAATTAATTTCATTTGAAGAGAAATGTTTATTGTGATGATTTCAGATCAATTAGGCTTTCCCCTGTATGTCCTTGTTTCATAATATTACAGGTGTTGGTACATGTGTATATGCACATGTACATGCATTTGCTTTCACATACATTTATGAGATCCTCCTGTGTCTTTTCCCCATAATGTAATGAAGAAACCACCACAATCACGTTGTTAATGTACACGTACTTACCGTACAAGGTGTGAGATAACTGGTCATTGGGTATGTGTCTCTTGCCCTCTGGTTTCAAAACTAAGAACTTTAATCCTGTCATGTTTTCAACACTGTAAAGTCATGTACACATACTTGTACATGTACATTGTAACTAAGCACTTGAATTGACTTTCAAATGTGGAATCAAATTGGTGACCTCACTTTTGGGGAGTTCTTACACAGATCCAATGAGTAATCTTATATCACTTACAAAACTAAGAACTTTAATCCTGTCATGTTTTCAACACTGTAAAGTCATGTACACATACTTGTACATGTACATTGTAACGAAGCACTTGAATTGACTTTCAAATGTGGAATCAAATTGGTGACCTCACTTTTGGGGAGTTCTTACACAGATCCAATGAGTAATCTTATATCACTTATTTCTCTTTCTCAGTCTTGCTCTGCACCCTGAGAAGACACTGGTAGCCACCGGTCAAGTTGGCAAGGAACCCTACATCTGTGTATGGGATTCCTACAATGTGGAGACTGTCTCCATACTCAAGGATGCTCATACGCACGGAATTGCAGTGCTTGGGTTCAGCAAGGATGGATCGGTATGTACTGTCACTGTAGGTTTGGTACCTGTACGGTTGCATACCAAAACAATCTGAGATGACTTGCACGAGACCAGTTTGAACAACCTGTTTTAACAACTGAAAGTATTTGTATTAACAACTGTTCATACAAATACTTTCAGATAAAATGTAATGCAAACTGCGCATCATACAGCACTGTACATGTATGGCTTCATCATGATTGATTGTTAGTTTCAGCTCAAAGAACAACATTAATATATCGCTGAAGTTCAGGCTTTTAATGATTAATCAATATCTGTCTTTCTAGCAACTTGTTTCAGTTGGTATGGATACCAGCAACATCATCAATGTCTGGGACTGGAAAAAAGGCCGGGTTCTTGCTACGGTCAAAGGTCACTCTGACAGGGTAAGTGTTAGTGCCATGTTTCCCTGCACCTGTGTTTTATTATGTTGCTTTTCTTGTTTGGTTCGAGCTCAGACATTCAGAGTCTAGGCAAAACTGGGTTCCAGCAGGCAAATTTTCAACCTCTATACATGCACATTATTGTGGCCATTTTATTTCCCATGTAGTGCTACATGTAAATACATTTTTTGTCTTGCAAATTGCTTAAGGTTATAGTCAAATTTAGTAATCTTTGAAACATTTGTTGACAGTGGCAAGAAGCAGCTGAAACCCTACAAAATTAGTTCAGGGAAGTCTGGCATAAGTGTCCAAAATCAAAGAATGGAATCCTATGGCTGTATGTGATTGCTCCCCAAATTGCCGTTACTCAATTTGTTGTGTCTTTTTACAGATTTTTGACTGCCAGTTCAGCCCTTACAAGGAACACAGCATCGTCAGTTGCGGAGTCAAGCACATCAAGTTCTGGTCGCTCAGTGGTAACACGCTGAGTGCCAAGAAGGGCATCTTTGGCAAGGCAGGGGAGATACAGACAATGCTATGCCTGGCGTTTGGTCCTAACGACACCACGTACTCGGGAACACTCAGCGGCGACGTCTACGTGTGGGGGGGGAACAACCTACAGAGAGTGATTCAGAATGCTCATGGAGTGAGGCTTGAATTTGGTTGAAATCGCAAATGGCTTTGACATGTTTGTGCTTTCTTAATAGTTTGATCAGGTTTTTGAAATCGGAAATGTATCCAGTGTGGTACAGGTTGCAAATTATATTATTTCTTTTGCCAAGTCTATATACTGTCAGTAGGAGTTAAAGGGTCGTGTAATTTTATGACATCTTTTAAAATACACCTTGTGTTTCAATTAACTTAATGTTTCAATTTTTGTTTTGCTATTTTCAAAAGGCACAGTATTTTGGCATCTTTTCCATATGTACATGTACATGTTGTATATGGTATCCCAATATTGCAATGATTTATGTGCAAAGAAAATACTGGAATTTTTAACTCCTTGCTGTCCTGAATTTGCTTTTCTTTGGTGAAGTGTTTTCAGTGAGCTGATTTTTTTTACACAGAATGAACAGAAAAACATAAACTGTGCCTTCCTCAATAGACATCATGGCATCAGTGCCCTCACCTGTCCAGCAAAGCTCTGACTATTTAATGTGTTTTAAAAAGTGCACTGATAATACAGTTGACCTCAGAAGGATGTCATATGGTTTCATTCATGAAAGAAGGGTATACAGATGCACAGTATAAGTGCCGAAGAAAAATCTATCACATTGACCTTTTCATTCATGTAGGAATTATTTCTCAAATGCAACCATGAAAAATTATCCATTCCTTAGTCATGACTGGCTGCAAATGACAGCTCAAATTACCCACTACATCAGTAATGCACAAGGGTGGATTTCACTAAGGAGTCACTCGTTTTAATTTCAATTTTACTCTCCATTTTTTTTTGATGTAGTTGGCTGTTAATCAGCCATCAAGTCCATTAATAAGAAACTTGAAACGGAGAATGACATCATGGCAGACGTAAAAAGTGATAGATATTAAAATAAAACAGATTTTCCCAAAAAAGCTTAGTCGTACATGTATACGAGGTAATATCAGAGTACGGCATTCAGACATACATGTATACTCGGGGATGTTACTGTATGCTGTTTTAGTTATTTCTGGTAATGAAAGGAATGAATATTTTTTTAGTACTCGCACACAGTTGCTACTGGCAACTTTTCAATTTTTGCATGTTGTGTTACATTAAAGTACAATTTTCCTCACCCTATGCTCAAGATTATAACTGAAACAGTGGTGACTTGACTGACAGCTAGAACCCTATTGCCAGGATGGGCAAGGGGAGTAATATGCCCAGCTGTCTGGTTCTTAATTGGCATTATCTCAGCATATCCATCTGCTGAATTTTATTCCTAATTTTAGAGGGCCTAAGATTATGAGACCCATCCACTAAACCCTTTCAGAAAAAAGAGTCAATATTTTTGGTTTTTTTTTTATTTCAGTCTGGTATCTATACTATTGACGCCTGTGACGAGGGCTTTGCAACTGGCAGTCGAGACAGCTGCGTCAGGTTGTGGGACACAGACTTCAAGCCTGTCACTAAGGTCAACTTAGCAGAGTCCAAAGAAGGCTATCCAGGTCAGGCTGAGGTCCAGTTTGCTGCCTCAATTTTCATGGGCCCTAATTTACCTACAAATACCAAGACTTACTGAGACCATTGTTTTCCCCCTGGTACATGTACATCATGCGGCACTTTTTCATTGGCAAGGTAGTTTGTATTTTCTTCTTTTTATTATGAAATTTCAACAAGAAGGCAAGAATGGGGTAACTCCGCACATTTCTGAGTAATCCTTCAAAAGGCCACGTTCAAAGCAGCAGTCACAAGCGGTTTGTTTATTCACTGCTGATGAATTGGTCAGTTTGCGCAACCTTTTGACCAAAAGAAAGCAGACAACTCCTGTTGCAGAGGAGAATTTTTCAGGAACCTTGTGATGTGTCTCTGCCAGTTCAGCTTTCCAGAAATGTGAAATGTCTAATAAAAACCCCTCTCAGGTCTCACAGTGAGAAGTGTTCACTGGCGTGGGGACCGTGTTCTCGTCGGCACACAAGACAGTGAAGTCATGGAGATCTTTCTGCGTGAGAGGGACAAGCCGAGAATCTTAGTTCAAGGGCACGCAGAAGGAGAACTCTGGGCCTTAGCTGTTCACCCCAAGAGGCCATTCATCGCCACCGGCAGTGACGACACCAGTGTGAGGTGGGTGTCAAATGGCATTTCATTTATTTGCTCTAAATATAAATTTGAAGGCCTTGTACATTGCAAATATTTCAGAATGATTGCAATTCCAGAAAATGTTTGTGTTCTTCAATATCCTAGGTGGTACAGAAAACCATGTGCTTGATTTTTTTAATGTTAGCAAGAAGCCAATATCAAGCACCGTGTTGGATAGTGACATCTGAACCATGTAGTTCAGAGAACTCCAAAATCATTCATACCATGCATTGAATTACAGATATATAGGTGTGAACGTCTGAAATGCAAAAAAAAAAATATTAGAAAAAAACCCTGCTGCAAACTGTTTACTGACCAAGTTGACTTGAAATATGGAAGTTTGAAATATAAGAGGGTTTGATGTGATCATCCTGAGAGTGAAAAGGTTGGCATGGTTGGGGTGATTAGAGTTGGGATTGTGGTTGTTGGATTTGATAGTCATGATTGCAACAATATTGAATTTCACTGTGACATTTCTCCCGCAGGATTTGGAACACTGAGGAAAAGAAATTGGTCATCCATACCAAGATGGAGAATAGCGTACGTTCTGTGGCATTCAACAGCGACGGATCAGCATTGGCTACTGGCATGTCAAATGGGTCATTCACAGTCCTCAAGACAAAGTAAGCTAGTCCCTGTCAACTTGTTTAACAACTTGCCGCTGGGGTTTCCAATACAGGACACTTATTCTTTATATGCGTAGCCGAGGTCTCCGAAATCGGACAAAGGGAACTGGGCCTTGTAACAAAAGACTGTACTCGTTACAAAAGCCCAGGCTGCTGGGCATTACCAACATTTTTCACTCTCAATATTGGAGAAAATCCAGCCTTGTTCTTAAACAGTTTACTACGGTTTTGGGGATTTAGAGCAAGTGGATTACCATCGGGGACAAAAGTGCTCCATCACCGCAGCGATGAGCCACACAGTCCCGCTGCACGCTAATCTGGCCCCTATTGAAAAGGTCAGCAGAGCACTGAGCCAGGTTCGTTAACAAAAGAAAATTACGTAACACCGCACAATCTGGGCTCTTTTTACAAGGCAACAGGCTTGGCTGAAATACTCCAGCGTCAGTAGATGTTGTCTGTCAGATTAGAGTAGAACCAGACAGTCCTTCGTGTGGGTGTTCATGTAAGTGTCCATTAAATGAAGATATTTGAAGAATTTTTGAAACAAAAAAATGATAATTATCCCGCCCCAGCTTCATAAACATTGATAACTGCCAGCGGCGCGAAGTGGTTAAGAAACATGTGGGCAGCACTGCAAATCAAGTCAGATGTTGCAGAAACTGGCTTTCAGGATTGCCTCTTTCCTGCTTTAAAGGACACTAAAATGTGCTTCAATTTTGCAACCTTCTCGGATTTTGGAGTTCTTGTGATATAAGTGCTTGGAACTTGCTTCAAATATTGTAATTTATAAGGAAATGGGTGTTTCACAGCAGTATTTAAATCATGTGAAATCAAATGAAAATGAACTGAAGTGTTTGAAAAAAAATCTCAGAAATTTACTCTGTAGAAGGCATTCATTTATTGAAGGTCTATTTTTAGGGATTTCAGAAAGTCAAATGGCATTTTCGTACTAAAATGTTTACGTGTTCAACGTCCATTCTTCGGTATTTTAGACTGCTTTTGTTCGTAATCTGTACGAACCGTAGGCCTCATAATACATGCATATCAATTGTGGGTTGTTATGTGTCAAACTACATTGTCTTTCCTGAAATAACAAGTTTGTGGCAAGACGCGAAATTTTATTTTGTGTACACTATTTATTGTATTATATTGTATATTCCAATTTTAAACCAGAGATTTAGCAGAGGTCATTCACATCAAAGATCGCAAGGAGGTTATACACGAGATGAAATACTCGCCCGATGGCAACTATCTAGCCGTGGGCTCCAATGATAACTACGTAGACATCTACGCAGTCACACAGCGCTACAAGAAGGTTGGCCAGTGCTCAGGAAGCAGTAGTTTTATCACTCATTTGGATTGGTCAGAGGACAGCAAGTACTTGCAGACCAATAGTGGAGCTGCTGAGAGACTGTTCTTCAGAATGCCGGGTCAGTAGACACGAACTCTGGTTATACTAGATGCTAGACATGCTACTTTGCTCTTAGTGGTGTACCCGGCTAGATAACTGGGTGCAACAGGTTTGCGTATCTGTGGGATGTCGTTTGCATCCATTGGGCAGTTATCAGCTTACATTACGGATGTTGAGGCACTTAGAGTTAGTTTCATTGACAGTGTGACTTTTGGATCCTGTGGTACATGTAACTGGCAGACTAGGACTCTGACATTGTTTGGTCTTATGACCAGTTGGATCTTGTTACATTGATCATGCTTATCACTTTCACACCTGTAATCAAGCCTTGTGTAAAGAATACAGTAACTTGGTTTTTTAATCTTCTTTGATCTTTGCCAAATTCTCCAAAATCTGGTGTATTTTAAAGGGTCTTGTATGGTGGTGATTAAGATTTCATGATTGGTATTTTGTTCAACACAATCAAGGAGTTGTCCAAATGTCAAATTGTCTTGCTGGGCTTTCTTTACCTGTAGCTGGGAAGCAAGTGACTCAACGTGACGAAGTGCGTTCTATCCGATGGGCAACCTGGACCAGTGTTCTAGGTCCTGAAGCCAGCGGCATCTGGCCCAAGTATTCAGACACTAATGACGTCAATGCCGTGGATGCTAACTTTGGCAGTGAGGTGATGGTGACTGGAGATGACTTTGGTCTGGTCAAGATGTTCAGGTTTCCTTCACTCAAGAAAGGTGGGTTTAACGCTTCGATGCTGAACTGTTAAAAAAATAATCAACATCTTAAAATAGCAGTTCATTTTTTGGCTTTCAAAATACACAGTGTTTTTATGTTAACAAAATCTGTATTGACAATCAAAATGGTCCTCCCCCCATCACTTGTAAAGAGCCATGTTGGTGAGGAGTATTCATGTTGTTGGTTGCCACATGACTGTAACAAGTGCATTTCCTAGTCGGTCGTGAATCAGCGAAGTGCAGTTCCTACCAAAGGAGCCTCTGTTGCCAGGAAAATCGCGCCCTCTCTTGGTTTCCCTCTGGGCGGATATAGACACCATTTTCATCATTTTCTCATAACCCATTTTTCAAAACAATGAAATTGGCAAAAATGTGCAAAAACAAGGTTTAATACTCAGACTACCTCATCTAATAATTCAAATAATTTTATTTGGCTTTCCTGGAATAGAGACTTCTGTGTTTACCGGTTCCAATTGACCTGACCAAACCTCACGTTTCTCACAAAGGAACCAAAATAGAATATGACAAAGGTCTCAGCTGTAAAGATACCACTACCATCTCTTTGCAGGGGCTAAATTCCGGAAGTACGTTGGCCACTCAGCCCATGTGACCAACGTACGTTTCTCCCACGACCACCGGCATGTAATCTCAACAGGTGGTGGAGACCATGCAGTGTTCCAGTGGCGGTTTATCCCTGAAGGGGTCAATGCACAGGACGAGGCTGGAGACACTGGCCATGACACAGGTACAAGCTCCCTGAATCTTTGCTTGTGTAAACCTATTTCAGGCTGTTATTTCCTGGTCTGAATTCTCGTCCACGAGTCCTTCACTAAGTGGAGACAAGCGTTTCATAGACTAATTTGGAGACCAGACATAGAGGCACCATGCTTGCTTATAGGCGTACCCACTCGTTACATTCCTCAGTGTGTTGCAACCCTTTTTGACGGCATTTATTATAAGAAAGAAAAAAACTCAGTTGAAGCTGATCTGCAAAGTTATTTTCACCAACAGTTGCCCTTCTACATGTAAATTGATGCATCAGCAAACTAGTAAAAAAAGCTTAGCATGCAGTCACTAATGTACTTCTATACATGCATCCTTATAAACCTCCAGATTTTTTTGAAAGATAACAGATATCTCTTGCAGGAAGGAAAGCAGAAGAGTCGTGTAATGTTTGCTGAAATGTTTCTAAACCAATAAGAAAGTTAGCAGTTTAATTGCTGTGCTTGATCAACAAAACTACTTTTATGTAGAAAAATAAAGGTGTCATAGTTTATTCCACCATTTGCATATTAAAGTGAAATGACTGAAAGTAAAACTCCGTAGTGTAGAAGTTTCATGCTGTTGCATTTGTGGCCTCTCAGGGTACCTGGATTCTAACAGCGAGGAGAGTGATTCAGACTTATCAGATGTCGCGGAGCTCGACTCAGACATTGAAAAGGAGAAGGAAATTGATTACGACCGGCCAGTCTACAAGGAAGATCTGACTCGACTCAAGAGGCAGAAGAAAGAGGATAATGCAGGCCAGAAGCGTCAGAAGGCTCCCAGGGAGGGAATCAGACTGGAATTCATTCATGGGTGAGTGGGAGAGACCAGGCTGGGAGGGAGGGGTGTGGATCTGAGGGAGGAGGGTGTCATAAAGGCACCTGTTTGTGTCGACGATGAACCTGTCCTCTGCCCAAAGCAGGTTGTGTTATCAACTTCGAATTTCTGTCCATATAGATGAGGTGTAGCTTACTGGAACTTTTTTCAGTATTTTCCTCCCCAAAAAGGGTCAAAAATAATCCAAGTTTTGCCGAGCTACAGACAGTTTGGAGACAAATGGTGAGGCTGAGAGTTCTGAGATGAGATACAAATTTTTCATCATTTGTTATTACACGGAAGTAAAAGAAAAATGATAAGACATTTCTGAGAGTCTCTTGTATTGTATTCTTTGGTAAGCTCAGTCCAATCAAAACTGGGTGTTAAGGGAAATGTCTCACCACTGCAATCACACCTTCATCTAAAATCTCTTTGTATTCATCAGGTATCGTGGTTACGACTGTAGGAACAATCTTTTCTACACGCAAGCAGGCGAGGTGGTGTACCATGTGGCTGCAGCTGGGATAGTGTACAACCGAGACACGCATACCCAGAGATTCTACCTGGAACACACCGATGATATCCTGTGCCTATGTATTCATCCCCTCAAAGATGTTGTAGCAACGGGCCAGGTGAGTCACCTTACTTATTTCCTCAGTGAAGTGCGGTTATGTTGCATAAACTCTCTACATGAAGGAGCTGTTTGTTTCACACGAGTCTGAATCTTCATCAGTGGTCCTAGTCCCAGGTCACTCCATTCGTTAGGCAAGTTCTTGGGTCATTGAACCCATGACAGGTCACTGATCGCAATCAGGATCTGTGTGAAAGAAACAGGCCCTTAAGTTGATATCACTGATGCTGAACCAGCGAAGAAATGTTTCTTGTTTTTTGTTTGTTTGCCATTAAGTTTATGAGATCAAATCTCTAAAACAAATTCAGTTTTGCCCTTTTTACTCATTTTGAATAAGTTTTCTTTTGGAAGTTGAAATCAGCTGAGTTTTTTGTGGTCCATCTTTGCCAGGTTGGTCGAGATCCCTCTATTCATATTTGGGAAGCTGAGACAACCAAGTCACTAGCCATCCTGAAAGGCCAACACATGAGGGGTGTTTGTGCAGTGGACTTCTCTGGTAAGTGGACATCAAGACAACAGGGATGCCAGTTTTGAGACAGAAGCTTGATTTCAGTCTTGTTCATATCAAATGTTGGGCTAATTTAAGCCGTTAGGAAGGTTTCAATTCAGGTTTCTCTGGCCTCATTTTGGAGTCTCTGGACAAAAACCTGACTGGCATTCCTTCAACAAGGACTCACACATGATGAACTTTGTTGTTAGTTTTGTGCAAGTACTGTTGAAGGCTCTATGTTTATCCCCAAAAGAAAGCTAATTGAGGGTTTTTTAATAATGTAAGCTATCTGGTGCACGTTCTGAAGTCCAAATACCGATAATTGAACTGGAGTAAGTCATTATTGGGCTTACAAGGAAAGAAAGAGCTTACTTGTTCCTTTTTATTGCAATTGCACAAGGTTTTTTCCAGAAGCCACTCTGTGCCAGGATCCATATGTTTCATGAGGCCTTGCTCTTGCCTTGACACCAACCTTAGCCTGGCCTAACCTGCGTTCATAAGTTATCAAGAATCTAAGATAGATTCCATTCTAATTTGCCCACTTTTCACCGTCATAATTTCCTTCTGTCATTGGTGTGGTACTTTCTGCTACACTGTTTTCAAAAAGCGAAGTTTGCCAGGCAAGTTTTCTTGCAAATGCCACTGAGAAATAGGACAGTGAGTTTTTATTACTGTCCCCTGTACCCCAGGTGATGGTAAGAAACTGGCCAGTGTGGGTCTTGACGACAATCATTGCATCATTGTGTGGGACTGGCGGAAGGGAGAGAAACTAGCCACAACCAGAGGGCATAAGGACAAGATCTTTGTCATCAAATGGAACCCTCATAACCTAGACAAGTTGGTGACGGTCGGCATGAAACACATCAAGTTCTGGAACCAAACAGGTAAGATGCCACCCAGTACTTTACTAAAAGAAAGGCTAGCATATGACACCAGACCACTGTTTAAGCTTATTTCTTATTTTCTAGCCATTGTGAAAAAGAAGATTTTTTAAGCCAGTGAAGTTTAGAAAACTTAAGCCATTTTTTCACATTTCAGTGTACTATCAAGGCATAAAAAGCTGGCAATGTAGTTCCTTAAAGTTTCAGGATTTGATATATTGTTGCTAATGCCGCATTGATACTGTTAAAGCAGAAAAGCTGGCAAAGTGAAAAATGCAAGAATACCTGAATGTTGAAAAATATAACACCCCAAGAATTTTCTTCAAATATTTCCACACATCCTCTCAAGCTTGTTCAACCTAATCTGTTTCTTGGACAACTAGGTGGGGGTTTTACCTCCAAACGGGGCACTTTTGGTAACGTTGGCAAGCCGGACACCATGATGTGTGTGACTTACAGCCGCTCGCCAGAAATGACCTACTCAGGGGGTGCGTCAGGGAACATCTATGTCTGGCAAGATGTGACTCTAATCAGAACCGTTAGTGCTCACCAAGGCCCCTGCTTTGCCATGCATTCACTGGACAAGGTAACACCTCATTCGCTGCTTGTCTTTTCCCAGTGGCAACCTGAAGCCATTTATGGGATTCGATCCATCAAAATCACCTGAATGTTTTGTAGGATTTGGAAGATTGAGGAAGGAAGAATCCAACCTTTATTGTTTTTAATTGGACCTGGTGTCCTTGAAAGTTAAGAATGAAAAACCTTGCCATTGAAGATTTTGGGGAATTGGGATAGGTTCGCATCCAGTATGTCTTGGGAAGAGCAGTCAGTTCATCATGGAAGTCAATATTCAATCTCCTCACTTCCTCCAATTTGAAGAGTGGGAACAGTTAGGTTACTCAAGATTGTTGGTTTTATTATATAGTAGAGTTTAAACTACCCAGAATTTTTGGGTTACCCAGGTGGTAGATAGTGAACTGTATGGATTTGTGATGACAGGTTTTATGTTATGCACGGTCTCATTTCCTGCATAGTCAGTCAGGTAACCTTCAAAGGAAACAATTTAAAGGATGCACAAACAGTATTTGCTCTTATATTCATGCCCACATTTTCATAGATATACTGGTGAATAGGTACTCCATTTCAACCTGTATGTGATTGTATTTGCATTCATACCAGTGCTGTACAATGACTTTATGTACTGCTCTCTATTTCATTGAACCCTGAAAGCACTGTTAACAGTTTTCTGTTTTCATTTGATGTGGTCATGGCGTATGATGTAGGTATGACTTTGTGACTTTTAATTTTGCTTACATTGAGTGTCCAACAAGAACCTGTGGCTTACATTTATGTCTCTTTGTTTGTCCAGGGTTTTGTAACAGGAGGCAAGGATGGTGTCGTATCCCTCTGGGATGAGGCCATTGAACGCTGCCTCAAGTCCTATCCCATCCGAAGGACCAGCTTGGCGCAGGGGACCAGGGGTGTTCTATTGGATGACAACCCGTCCATCCGTTCGGTCATTCTGGGCCATGGCCACATCTTGGTGGGGACCAAGAATGGTGAGGTTTTGGAGATTGAGAAGAGTGGTCCAGTCAGGATACTTGTACAGGTAGGTGGTAGGTCATAGGTCATCCATCATTAATGGATTCAGACAGGGATGATGGTTGGAGTTGTTTGCTGCCCAAATTTTATGGGCTTTTTGGAGGAAATGTAAGCAGTCTTGCATGCCTAGTCTCTCGTTTGTCCATATCAGAGTTAGATCCCTGTATGAGCAGCACAAATTACATACAAGTAATTTTCAATTGAATGTACACAAAAGCTTCATCTGAGATCAGATGCACCTGATGTGCAATAAAAACGACACTGAAGTACATTATGTGGAAGAAATGACTTCACTGCTCAAGTTTTGGTCGTGCATGGAATTCACTTCATCTTCTCTGTGAATTGTAAAACAGAGAGACGATAGGCTGCCTGACGTTTTTCATTGAAGAAACGTGTTGCTAAGTTTTCAGACGCATACAAAAAGACTAGTTGTTTTGTGAGCTGTTGCTCACAAAACAACTAGTCCACATGTAAACCTGTCCTGTGGCACTATTGAATGTGACCAGTTATGTGCTTTAATCATAACAGTCCTGGATCCTCCAATATTAAGAGGTTTCAGGAAAGAAAGTCTGCAATTCAACAAAAATGAGAGACTGAATACTTGTGATTAAAGTGGAATTCTGCCCAGATTTCCTTTCAGATTGTCATTTGACTGGAGTATCTTTCTTTTCACCATTCTCTCTCTCCACACAGGGACACATGGAAACAGAGATCTGGGGTCTGGCAACCCACCCCTCCAAAAGCATCTGTTCCACAGTCAGCGATGATGAGACTGTCAGGGTATGGGACCTGGGACCCGACCACAGGATGCTGAATGTAAGGAGATTGAAGGGAGGAGCCAGATGTTGCGATTTCTCACCCGATGGCAAGGCGCTTGCAATTGGATTTAAAGACGGTAAGGGGTATAGGGGTGAAATATCTCAGGATATTTTGTGTTTGGGGATTTTTGTGCCCCAAATTGCTAAGTTTTAGAGGTTCAATCAGTTGTTCTTGGCCAGGTTTTGGCAGTATGGGCAAAAAAAGAATGTAAGAATCACAGAGTCCTGGCCACTTGTTAGTCAACTTGTTAGCTGTTAAGAGCCCTAAAAAGTCTCATTTTTTATTGATATTGTTACAACCCCTGTGCTGGATGTTGCATGGATGTTGATCTTTTCACCACACTGTTGGGATAGAGTTTCATGATGTACACTTTGACTCTACTAAACAACTTTCTACCTCCCTGCCTGTATGCCCTTGTTAATATTCGTCTCAAATTTCTTGTAATATCAAAGATTTCCTCAAAGCGTAATTGTTAACTTTTCAGGTAGTTTCTCTGTTGTAAACAGCGATACTTTGGATGACATTGCTGGATTCCATCACAGAAAGGAAGAAATATCTGATATCAAATTTTCACCAAGTAAGTGATTGTCATGGACTAGCAATGGTGCCTTGTTGGACTGACCCATTGGACACAAACATTTATGCATATGTGACGTATGTATCATATTCCAAACCAGTAAGCTATCTTTCCTTGGCTATGCTTACCAAGCACACAGTGTCAGGGTTGTTTTAATGTCTTGGCGTCTATCTTTCTCATCAGCGAGAGATCAATTGCGAACAGAACCATTTTTTTACACCGTCAACTTCGAAGTATCAAAGTCGATATTTTCTTTACCCATTGAGGATATCAGATTCTCCAATTTGTAAAAAAGCTTGTACCCTAAACTCTTTGAAACTTTTCTTTCCAAAGGATAGAGTGGTTTTTCAATACTACCCATGTGTTTGTTGGTGAGTACAGTGATATTATTTTATCTCCCCAAGATTCTGGCAAGTATCTTGCTGTAGCTTCTCATGAAAACTACGTCGACATCTATAGTATCCTTAATACCAAGCGAGTTGGCACCTGTAAAGGTTCCTCCAGTTACGTCACGCATACAGATTGGGACAAGAACGGTAAGCATCAAGACTTGTTGAATTAGATCCAGCAATGAGGTCTGGCTGGGCCTAATAGAAATAGAAGCAATATTGGCAGAGCTTTTGATGTTTGTTGGAAAGTATTCAAGTTCTTAGGGAAGTTTTGTGGGTATTGATTTCAATATTATTGATGTTTTGCACAACAATAGAAAAGCCTCATCAGGAGAACAGTTTAAACTATTTAGTCCGTCCGAAAGTCAGGATAAACCATGAAGATAATCCCACCATTGCAGTATTCAAACCTCTCATATAAGATGCGTATTTAACATAGTTTCTTTTGATTTTGCATACTGCTAATGAGTCAAAGTTTAGCATGTCTCATACCCTGCCTCAGGCAAGCTGATCATGATGAACTCTGGAGCCAAGGAGCAGCTGTTCTTTGAGGCTCCGCGGGGCAAGCGCCAGGCTCTTCGTAATGCGCAGATCGAGTCGCAGGGTTGGGCCACATGGACCTGTGTCCTGGGTCACACCTGCACGGGAATCTGGCCGTCCAAGAGTGACGTGACCGACATCAATGCCTCGTCCCTATCACATGACAGGAGCATTCTGGCCACGGGGGATGACTTTGGCTATGTGAAACTGTTCCACTGGCCAGCATCAGTAAGTCAGAGGAACCTCTTCGAAAAAGAAATGTCATATTAAACAACACACACATCATCCTTTGATCGTTCTCAGCTGCTAATGGATTAGAGCTATCGACATTAAATAGATTAGAGTTGTATATAAAGAGAGTAGCTCCAACTTCAGACTTTGGAACCAAAATGGCTGTTCATTATGCGTGCAGTACAGGATGCAGCTGTTGAGTGCTAATTGTCCATGCGCACTGTTGCATAATCCACCATTTTGATTCCAACAATTGAGACACTCAAATAAAAAATGTTTGCTTTTTTTGTCCTGTCCACTTGTCATTTTGCCTTTGAGAAAGATTCTGCTCGGATCAAAACATCAGGCCCTCCACATTTTGAGACGTGATTTTCCTCAGGCACTCTGCCTCAAATCAGCTGCTTCTCTCATTTCAAATATCCTACGTATGTTATCATAAATTGTAAAACAGTCAAAGCTTGCTTAGCTTTCCTGACTTCCTGAGTCTGGTTTTCCAGGTTCTGTCACATTATTATTATTATTTGGAATCGCAAAACCACCTTATATTTTAACCACTCCCACTTGTATCTTGTGCTACTTATTCCCACTAATCTGTTATGTTTTTTAAATTTTGGTCATATTTGGAAGTCCATGCATAAATTTAGAAATACTGCCCTTTTCCCCAATTCTTTTTGCCACTCTGTAGGGCAAGAATGCCAAGTTCAAGAAGTACGTTGGTCACAGTGCCCATGTGACTAATGTCAGATGGACCCATGATGACAAAGCCTTAGTGTCAGTAGGTGGAGCTGATACCGCTCTCATGGTGTGGTCACATGATATGCCGGGTACCAGGGACAATATCCATGGAGAAAGCGACGACTCAGACACAGACTCAGAAGAAGACGGTACAACAGATTACAGAGTTTGGATTAATTGTAAATGTCCTGTTAGGCTTGGCAGATGTGATCGTAGACGATGCCGATGAAAGGGAGTCTAAACTTTGTTGTCATTAAAAAATCTTTATTTAGAAATAAATTAAGGACCGTCAATTTGTGAAGATCAACAACTAGACCTGGAAGTAACCATTAAAGTAAAGTCAAGTTTAATGTCACATGAACCAAGGTGTGAACGGCATGTTGTTTCTGCACAGCACACGAACGTTTTTAACACTACTGTCTGCCATAATGGAACTTAAGAATGGCCCATTGCAGCTAAGAAAAAGTTTTTCTACTGTGTGTGTCAATCAGAAAAATGTCAAGTTTTGAACTTATCAAAACATTTCTGAACTTTGAGATAATACCTAAATGCTTGCTTTATGAATTCAAATATATGACCGATTATTTAGGATATGATAGTGATGTGCAGAGGGAGACTACCATGGATTACGCCTCTAAGACTTACACCAACCCCCTCAGGGAGAAAACTGGAATCAAACCAGACCAACAAACTCCAGAGGAAGATGACACGTAAGATATTCCTGGTACCTCAGTTGGGACTTGGCTTTGAAGTCTGTTACATTACCATAAAGTCATGTACTTTTTAAAAAGAGACTGTGCAGTACTTGCACATTTGATGTAACTGGCATAAGAATTCTGCGAATACAAAAGTAATACATCCGATTAACAATAGTGCGCCTCCAAGAGTTTGCAACGTGTTGGCAATTTGACCCTTTCCAGACGCGCATTGGGTTGATAGATTTTGCGCACTGTGATTGGAAAATGCATTGCAAATTCTCTGAGGCGCACCTTTGTGAAATGCCTGTTTTGAAGTTTAAAATTCATTTTGACAATCCAAACTAAGACTGCTGGAATTTTTCTTTTAGGTGGGGGACATATGGTAGTAACCAAACCGTACTGTAAATGTAACCTGATGACCATGGTTGAGGATAATACTTTGGGAGAACTTATGGGGTTTGGGCAACTCTCAGATCCCTTTCTGAACATTGACCAATGAAAGACAAAGTAATGGCGACTGAATATGTATGAGATGTAAAAATGTCCAATCAATGCACTGCATTTTCTTCATGTTGATTTGGCTTCTGATTACAGGCCTAGTGTGAGCAGAGGTGCCTCCAAGCCACCAAAGGTCAAGAAAGCAGATGTGGATACCGGCAAAAAGAAACGACCATCCAGAATAGAAGTGAGTGGAACATTCCACCTTGTGAGGTGGGGTTGAATCTATTCCTTTTTTAATATTCCACCTTCAGTTCTGACAAATGTTTCAAATTTATGCAAATACCAAATTCCCAGAATTCCCTGATGACAAGGAAATTTATACAAAACACCTTCAGTAGATAGGAAAGACATGCAAACGGCAGTTAATGTAGAACCTGTTTTTTGAGTTGAAAATATTGAGAATTAAGCGTTTTGTGCAGACGGAAGTCAACAGTTTTATTATTACTGACGTAAGCATGATAATAAAGCAGTAAAAATAGGGTTCATCGGTAAGTCATAACAGAAGTACTCTGGGGGCCGTATTGTTAAACTTTTTATTGTCTGCTTTTTAAGTCCCCATAATACCTTGAAATAAAATTGTAAAATGCAGTTTTCTTACCATAAAATTTAATTTTTCAAATTTTACTGTTTAAATATAAATTCTAAATCTTAGATTCAACACATAAAAATTTAAATAAGTACGGTTCAATCACATATTGAAGTTTCAAATATTTATAACCAGTTCAAATAAAATGAGCCATTCTAGTGAAATGTGCACCATAATCTCCTTTATTTGGGACAGAGTGTTTGTGTGGGACAACAGAGCTTGTTAACTAACATTTCTGACATTTGAAAGTAAGATAGGAAGTTTAGACATTCCACCTTAGACTGAGAGATTTCATGCATTTAGCAGACGTGTGAGAATTCAGCTTTTTAGATGATTTCAGCTTTTTTTGTTTAGATGTCAACCCCGATTTTCAGCTTTTTTGTACACCTGGTCTGTATAAAAGTATTGGAACTTTTTACATTTCAGCCTCTCGCTACCTGTTTTCAGCTTTAATTTTGAAGTGGCCACTCATTGCGCCCCTGATTTAGGAATCCCTTTTGAAAGACAAAGTTATACACAAGTGCAACATTCCAGTCATCTTCCACATTTGTCAGTTGTACGGGATTTTTATCCCCTCCTAACGGAGAGAAGTTGCTAGACAATACCACAGACACTTCAGCAATGTATACCACAAATCAGACTCGCTATGTCCAAATTTTGGCCAAATTGTTGTAAGTATGGGCAGCGTTGCTTTCAAGAATGTGAAAGATGACCCATATTTACTCTTCAAGTGGCATTATGTTATTTTGTGAGACAGGTATGTATTTAGCCTGGCTTAAGTCCAGGACGGTACTTTTTTTAAGAATTTCCCCCAAAAAATTGTCCCCTGGACTTGACCCTGTTCACAGTCAGGTATTCATATCCATCCCAATAATATACTGGTGATATTTTCTTGGTTGTCAGTTTTTGCTCAACATTGAATGAAGCCAGCGCCACCCTTAAGATTTTTTCTCCCATTTCTAATCAATCAAATGCTCACAACTAACAAGAATCACATTTCCTCATCTGTCTGTCTCATTAGGATCTTTCCTTAGAGCATATCCACGGCTATCGGGGCTTTGATTGCCGAAATAACCTCTTGTACCTCAATGATGGAGCAGACATTATCTATCATGCTGCCGGAGCCTGCATTATACAAAATCTGGCAACAGGTAAGCAGCTTCTACCACCGACAGTAAGGAAAGTAAGCTCTTACAGAGGACTATGTTGCCAGAACTGTGGACTGCAGTGAAGGGCCTATTAAAACCTAGGCAACCAGGCAAGACTTGAGGCATGCTCACAGTGGATTGTTGGCATGTGCAAGTCAGAGTGTTGGTGACTCATTTTCAACTGAATGCGCACAAATTCTTAGTGACTGGCATTGAGAGGAACACACCTGAGCTATCATTTGTAAGCTAGATATAGCACCCTTAAGGTCTATGTCCTGCATATAAATTTGGGATTCAGCTGTTGTAGTAGGCTCATTCTGACTGGACTTGGCTATAGCTCAAGAAGACCATTTCCAACACAGCTATTGCCTCTTTTATTTCCCAGGTACCCAGAGTTTCTATCTAGAGCACACTGATGACATCATCTGCTTGACGGTCAACCAGCATCCCAAGTTTAAGAATGTGGTGGCCAGTGGTCAAATCGGAGCTACACCAGCGGTCAATGTCTGGGATGCCACCACTAAGCAGACACTGTCTATCATCAAAGGATTCCATACCAAGGGTGTATGTTCGGTCAACTTCAGTGCTACAGGGAAGCTGTTGCTGACTGTAGGCATTGATGATAACCACTCTGTGGCTGTCTGGAGGTGGCAACAAGGTTTGTAGCCATTAAGACTGGATTAGCACAAGTTATCTCTAAACAAAACCTACACACACTAAAAAGCTGAACACCTTCAGAAATTATTGCTTAGGAAGTAGACTTTCTCAGCAACAATCATCTGAGAATCGGTCACAGGTAGTGTACCTCAAACCTCAGCTGACAATCCCTCACAGGTTGAATACCCTGTGACCTTTCGCTTGTGACTTGATTTTCCTGAAGACAATTTGCACAAGGCAGAGCAAAAGGACATCAAAATTTGATTTGTGATGTGGTTTGTCATGACCAGTGATTTTTTGACATTTGTGTATCAACAATAATCAAAAGAGTTTGTAAAGGTTTCATACCAAAATGTCAATTTTTTTCACATAAAAAACTAAAAAAGGGTTTCAGTTCAAATTTCAGAGAACTACTTCTCACTATTTCAGTTTTGAAAAGTCCAGTTTTAAAAATCTAATAATATCTTTTTTAAATATCTCATTGCAAAATGGCTAACTTTTGTCTGTGTTTTTTATAGGCACTAAAGTAGCAGGCACCATTGGTCATTCCAAGCGTATCTTCCTGGGTGAATTCAGACCCGACTCAGACCAGGAATTTGTGACGGTCGGTGTCAAGCATGTCAAATTCTGGACAGTAGCCGGTGGGGAGCTGATTGGCAAACGTGGCCTGATGAACACGGCAGGACAGAACACACAGGATGTCAAGATGCAGACTATGCTATCTATTGCATTTGGATCTGTGAGTTCTAAGCTTTCAACTGTATATGCCCCGACAAACACACAAAATTTGGCGCAATACCAATGAATGAGTAACACTGGTAACATTTTGTCTTCTGTCAGAAGACAAGTTTCTTAAATTGTAAGGGTTCTGCTTCTAATAGACAAATTAAAAAGGTTATCATATGATTGGAGAAATTGTAAGGCGCAGATCAATGTCTGTTTAAGCATGAACCAAGATGGAATGTGAAAATATCTTTTACGTCAGACTGACAAAGTAAAATATTGACTTGTACACTGCGTTTACAAATTATTTACTCCAGTGATTATTTTATATTCATGGAGTGGAAATGATTATATTTGATGGCATATTACATGTTCTATTTCACGGTGCAAACATTCAATCTGTCAGGTCATGAAATGAGTCTTGCCATTGCATTCCTGTCGTCTTCCAGAATGAAACAACCTTCACAGGTGCAATGAGTGGTGATGTTTACGTCTGGAAGAAGAACATCCTAGCAAGAGTTGTGTCTAGAGCTCATAATGATGCCGTCTTCACGTTGTACACCACGCTGAAGGATGGCTTGATTGTGTCAGGTGGCAAAGAGAAGGAGTGAGTGATCTCAACCTTTTACTACTCCATCTACTGAGGACTTGCTCTCGAGATTAAAACTAGATTAAAACTATATCCAGTTATGGGACACGGAATTCAGCCACTTGGGTGGAAGTAAAAATGCAGGCGTGCCTGAAGGGTTGAAACATAAAGCATTTAAGCAAGCGAGTTCCCATTTGTATGCACGCACACAGAGTCTAGGAAGTCAACGGAGAGGATGTGTGTGTTGCAAGTGAACTTTGCCGATGTACATGAGCCAGTTTGAAGTATGGTGGATGCAGTTGGAGGATGCTGTTTGGTTTGGATAAAATCTGTTGTGTTTGCTCCAAATTTACCCACTTCCAATAGTGCCCTATTATTGCGTCCGCCATACTTCAAACAGGCTAATGGCTAGTTGTAACAAGTATCACTCTGTTGACGTGCCCCTGAAAGTTAAAAAACATGAGACTGGGGTAAGAAATATTGTACACATATTGTTCAATGACCCCTGTAAATCAAGATTTGTAATGTTTGGCTGCATATAAAATGTTAGCCGTTATATCTCGCCTATTTTGAAAGTTGAAATTTTCAGCCAAAACCAGTACTGTCCACAAGTGGTCAATATTTCAGAAAACTAAACTCCACAATAACATACCTGTATGCATTGTGTTCAGTTGTACTTTAATTTGAATACAACTTTCCAACATTATAAATTTTACTTTAATACATTTCACATTGTAACTTTGAAAGCAAAGTTTATCTTCAATTGTGGTAAGAGTTTCAGAACTATCATATGCGGATATAGAATTTAGAACTGAAATTTTTCTTACTAAACGTTTAACAGTTAAATTTTTACTTCATACGTGTGAGACTTCATTCCTTATGTTTATCTGCTCTGTATGCAAAACAGGAGTTTTCAGAATGTGTATATATTTGTTGAGTACTACATTTGCCTTGCCCAAGTATTGTCTTCTCACCATGACAACATCTCAACTCTTCAATAAAAGCAGAAACTTAAGTAACACTCCGATAATTAACTTTGATATAGATCAAAGAGTAAGGACAGTGGACCAGTGAAGCTTTGGGACCAGGAAATGAAGAGATGTCGAGCTTTCCAGTTGGGCACCGGCAACACCATTGACGTCATCAAATCTGTCTGCCGATGTAAGGTTAGTCCAGATGTCACCATAAAGAAGATACAGGGATCTTATGTTGGAGTGTGCACAGGACAAACTACCAAATTATGGGACTAACTACCCATAACCACATTTAAAGATTACTCAGTGACTTCTCAGAAATGGAAAAAGGGTTTGAAAGGTGTTTTTGATAGCATTTTGAAACATATTTGGAATGCTAACATGCATTTAATGTTTAGATGCATAAAAAGTTGGCAAGGAGTGTTTTGGGTAAGAATTAATAATTTGAAATTTTGTTTCTTTTTCCATTGAATTGTTGGGTTAGGTTTCTCCTACGGATAAACAGGTACCTGCATTTACTTCAGTAGGGAACCCAGTTCCTAAGCTACCCATAAATGCATGCAACCTTTACCCCATGCATATCACACCGATTAATAAGTAAAGCATTNGATCTTATTGAAAGGAACTGGTACTTGAGTGTCAATCCTGTGGGTTTTCTGTAGTCTGTTCTTGTTTGTGAAGACACTGCGATTTGTGCTCCCTTATTTGTTGAATATTGGTCGCTTTTGCTTGCATGGGTCAGTTGGTGCACATAATGGTGTTTCCACGTTTAGCTTTCATACCTAGGCCACTCACAGGCATGTATTTATTTTCTTGTGAACCAGCTGATTTTTCTCTTTTTTGGGGGGTGGAGCTTCCAATGTGAGCATTTACATATTTTATGATGTAGTCTTGAACAGCAAGGCATTTTCTTTGATTATCCTGCTGCACTTGGCAGTTTCAATATATGCACACCATACCGTCAACATTCTGGTGGAAGTCCTCAACCGTAACCCGTCGTCCTTTTTTGCCCTGTAACCCTCCTCAGTCCTCCAAAATCCTCCAATATTTCTTGAATATGCTCCTTTGAGGAGTGCCCACTGCCTCAATCCTTGAAAATCCTCTTGCAATTCCTGTCATTATGTTGAGGCAGTGTGAATGGTATCCCGGAGTAGTACTGAGGATTTCACATATAATCTAGACCTGAATTTATAAGGGGCTAAGCATAAGCAACACACGGTCAATTCCAAGACCTGGACATAATTTATCCTTTGCAACCAGTCGCACATTTTTGCCATTCTTCTTGAATCCTCCCAAAATTTTCCAAAAGCACCTAAAGGATTTTGGAAAAGGTGGAGGCCTAGACAGTGTTGTGTTTGAGTCCATCACAAGTCCCTCTAAGTCCATCACAAGTCATAAAGTCTAAAGCCAATAGACCTTTTCAATGATAAATTCATAACTGTGCACGCATGTACACAAATGGCCTTGGCGGCAATAAGTGTGAGTGGGCCATTGAAAATGTACAGGGGTGTAACTTTGTTAATCATTTTCTCTCAGGTTTTCTGTCTCTGTTGAGTTTTTTCTTCAGAAAATCCTGTAAATCGTTTTGCTATTAGTTTCTAGTCTAAGCGGGAGTTTTAGTGCTTTAAAAAGACTTCATAATCGTGATTTTTCCAATGCACACAAGATTGCCATATCTAAGCTTTTCTTGCTGTTTATAGCAAACCATTTAATGGGATTTTCTGAAGAAAAAAATGAACAAAGCCGAAACCTAAGAAAAAATTTACACCCCAGTATATTTTCAATGGCCCGCTCACAATTCTTGCCGCCAAGACCATTTGTGCACATGCGTGCATAATTATGAATTTATCAGTGATAAGGTCTATTGACTTAAGACTTTGTGACTTGTGATGGACTTACAGGGACTTGTGATGGACTCAAACACAACGCTGTCTAGGCCTCCACCATCTTCAAAAATCCTTTAGGTGGTTTTGGAAAAATGTTTGAGGATTGAAGAAGAAGCTATTCAAATGAGCTGTGACAAAAGCATTCTTTTTTTCATTGTTCATCCTGTTTCCTATGACTGGCCCTGTGAATGGACTTGTGAATGGACTTGTGACTGGACTGGTTAAGAGACCTGTGACTGGCCTTGTGAAGGGACTTGTGACTGGCTTTGTGAAGGGACTTGTGAATGACCTTGTGAAGGGACTTGTGACTGGCTTTGTGAAGGGACTTGTGACTGGACTTGTGAAGAGACCTGTGACTGGACTTGTGAAGAGACCTGTGACTGGACTTGTGAAGAGACTTGTGACTGGCCCTGTGAAGGGACTTGTAATTGATTTGTACTGTGAAAGGACTTGTGACTGGACTTGTGAAGGGATTTGTGAAAGGACTTGTGATGGACTTGACACTGGGGCTAGGGTTAATAAGTATATGACAAATGACTCGGTAAATTACTGTTCTATCATTTTATCAGGATTTTCATCTTTGCACAACTTGAATTTTGTCTGTTGCGTAGGGCAAGATTTTGGTAGGCACCAAGGACAGTGAGGTGATCGAGATTGGAGAGAAGAACGGCCAGGTAACGATGCTGGTACAAGGACATGGAGAAGGGGAAATCTGGGGCTTAGCTACCCACCCCTCCAAGGAGCTGTTTGCTTCGGCTAGCGATGATGGCACCATCCGAATCTGGGATGTACAGAAGATGGTAGGTTGAGTACATCGGCAGGCAGCAGAAAAGCAGATATTACAAATATACAACCTGAATGCTTTGTTTTGATTTGCAAAATTGCTGGTGGTGGAGGAATAAGATTTCTTTGTTTTTTAATCAATGAATGAAAACTCTGAATTTTTACTTTAAAATGTATGCTTCTGTACAACTCGATTCACATTTATTGAAATAAAATTTACAATATGAAAAAGTGCTCAGGTGGAGTTTGTGATTGTATTGATCATCTTTAACGTGATCAGTTGACTAACGTGCTGGTTTGCAGTCCAGTGACAGACCATGAGGGCATTTCCCATATTGGACGTGGCCTGGGACCATGACCATGATATTGTTACAGTTCTGTGCCTTTGTGGTTATGTAATCCAGTGATTTATCATTAATGAAGCAAACAGGAGATACGGAGGCAGATGTTTTTCTTCCATGTTCATGCAAAGTAAAAGTCAGCCATGCAACTTTTCCTCAGATCAGCTAATTTCCTTGTTTTTCACTTCACACTCGAGCCATTGAAGATTGAGAAACTCTTTACAAAGTCTTGTAAAGATTGGGATTTCCTCATTTGTTTGTCAAAGTCCAAGGTGCATTTCTGAATGAGCATATGGTGCAACTCAAACTCCTGATGCCTGTGTTTCTCAACAAAAATAGGAGAGAAAATGGTAAAGATATCTCAAAACATTTACAATTAAATGAATGATTTTACAGTGCAAATAATGAATGTGGGCTTGGAATCAATTTTATGGTTGATAGGAGGTCATCTCACAGGTTGGGGGTAGAGAAAGAGAATGACCTCTGAGAAACTATCCTTTGACTCTTGACCTCTATAATATATGTCGCCGAGTGTAGACCCAATGCACACCCCTTAATGACATGCAGAGATCAGTCTGGAAATCAGTTGATGCGACGTAAACAAGATAAGAGAATTCTCATTCTATTTTTTGGTTTCCCTCTCAGGCAATGACAACCAAAGTCAGTATGGGTTCGGCGGCACGCTCCATCACCTACAGTCCTGACGGGGAGACCCTCGCTGTCGGCCTGAAAAATGGCGAGTTTTGTCTGCTGGCAGTAGGAACCATGAAGGTGTGGGCCAAGAAACGTGAACGGAACAAGGCCATCACGGACCTTAGGTAAGCAGTACTCACAAGAAGGACAGTTCTTTAGAAGACAACAAAACAAGGTAAACAGGGGTCTGTCAAGTCAGCAGTGTTATCCTAATGGTCATAGGTTTCTATGTTCACTGCCCAAAAATATATTACACAGGTGGATAAGCACGAAGGTCTTAGTCTGACAGAAATAACAGAGTATTCTGTGTTTTTACAAAGTTGTTGTTCCCTTTTGCAGTCAAAAATGGACAGAACAAAATACACCTGTTTTGCCTTCAGAACAGGTGTTGATAATTAATTTAAAAACACAAATCACCCTGTTGCATTCAGTGCAGTTGTAGCATCCATGCTGATGCTAATGAAGAACAGGCTGTACATGTAGGTGTCCAAGTTGTGGCAAATACGTAAAACTGGCTCTGAAACAGGAATGCCACTGTAGCTTATTGTGTCTTGCATTAAAACCTGTAATTAATTCCATTGAATCATTTATTTAGAAGCGGTGACTTAGTTTACAGTCTAACTCCAACCTTCAACCTGCTGAAGGTGGTCATTTTTTTTTTATAAATAATGACTTTGTTTACAGTCTAACTCCAACCTTCAACCTGCTGAAGGTGGTCATTTTTTTTTTATAAATAATGACTTTATTTATAGTCTAACTCCAACCTTCAGCCTGCTGAAGGTGGTCATTAATGATCATTTGTTTTTAGAAATGATGACTTAGTTTACAGTCGAACTTCAACCTTCAGCCTGCTGAAGGTGGTCATTTTTTTTTTATAAATAATGACTTTGTTTACAGTCTATCTTCAACCTGCTGAAGGTGGTCTCTTTGAAAGAAACCTTCAGCCTCAGTGAAACTTTATTTTCTGCAATGGAAAACATCAAACCTGTCTTATGTGGGACCAGACTTGACAATAATTTCATTGTATTACTGTAACAAACAACTTGTTATACAATCAGTGTATACAGTCGCTACATGTGACTCGGCCTCCGAGTGCTTGCAACATGGACGTGCCGATATTTTGTGTTATTGCTACAAAGGAAATCAGAATAAAACCCTCAACATTATCACCTACACACTGTATGCGTTCTTCGGGATAACCAAATCCAAACAGCCAGCTTCCTCTCTCTAAAAAGTAGAATAATTGAAATAAAGGTTGCCACGGTGCTCATCATACGTATATATAGAATCAAATTGTACATATGTGTAAAGGTACCAGGTTTGCAATGAAATGAGAATAAATATTTAATAGTTGTGGTTAAAAGGTCAAAGTCATAACATTGCTTTCAGGGTCATTAACCTGTATGCGAATGTCAAAATTTCTGGAAGGTGAAGTAAAATGAGGGTGAAAGGTAATATCTGAATAATGATGTGGTGAAAGTGATATATGTGGACAAAGGCTTACCCTTCAGAGGAGAATGAAATTGGGTTCCAAAGGTCAAAGCACAAGGTCATCAAAAGAAGACATTTGTAGACTTGCAAAGGATTGAGAGATTTTAAAAACTTCACTTTTTGTTCATCACAATACATGCAACAAAGCGACTTTTGATATATTTATTGTTTTCAGCTGATCCAGTGCATATGCAACGTACTCTTTCACTTGTTTTCCAACCAGTGATTCCATACATACACACTCTGCTCAGGACAAGGAGTAATACACTACTTTTACTTCTCACTTAAAGTCCATCATTTTCTGCCAACTGAAGGGTACATGTACTGTTCCTTGCAAAGTATTTTTGATAATGCATTTAAGGTCATTCGGTGCCATTCTTATGCTAATGAAAATGTGCATATTCATGAGCATCAGAGTGTTGAAGCCCCATTACAATCACCATTGCAGTACTTAAGTCTTCAAGAATTCGGGGCACTTTGTGGTTGTAAATTTGGATTACTTTGGTGGTGTTCTACTGTTTCAGTTCAATACAGTGAGCCTGTGAGCACAGTTTTCTCACGAACATTTCCATAAGCAGAATTAGGGAATTCACAGTTTGAACAGACACCCATTAAACCAAGGTGTTTTCCTGTGATGGCATCAGAGCAACAGCGCCCTCTTTTGCCAGGAGAAGTGTGGACATGTTTGAATGTTCAAAAAGTGCACTTTTCAGCACAGTAAACCAAAAAGGGATTTCAACAAGTTCTGTTAAATTTAAGAAAAGATAAAGTTTCACACATGTTCCAGAGTGAAATTCTCATCCTGAACCCTTCACAGTTATTGGGTACTTGTACCTGATTTCTGATTTCACCGAGTTACAGTCTAATATCACTGAGATCAGCAAAGCATGCAAATTATGTCAAATGTAGAATTATGAAACAAACTGTATAGAGAAACTGACTAGGTGTCAGGATAGGGCTGGATAGCTCAGTTGGTAGAGCACCTGTATGGTATTCTGGAGGTCACAGGTTCAAATCCCACTCCAGTCAATATCTGTGTTCATTTTTATCATTAAATGTAGAATTAAAAGAATGAAATCCATAACAAATGCCTTCCTTGTTTCCTTTCAAAGGAGGGAAAGTAACAGTCTTTTCTTACGAGTTACTGTGTGTTGTGTTACTTCAAAGATTCGTTTAACTCCACATTTTGTGCTGTGTTTGTTCTCTATCCACAAATTGGAAATCCTCAGACCATTGCTTTTGAAAATAAAATCCTCTGCATCAGCTCATTAAAATCAAAGTTTTAAATATGTTCTACATTCTTAAAGAAATGTTTCATAAAGTAGGCCTACTTGTACCTTCACATATTTATGCACACACATTAACACGTTTGCACATTAACTTTAATGTTTAAATGTTATCAATTATACTGTGATACATCCCATAAGTGAGATTTTAACTTTAGAAGATTCATTTGAAAAGCAGGCGATTGTCTTAATGATTTTTCTGTAGATTCTGATTTATTGAAAATCTTGTAACAGTTGCGTCCAAAAGCCTGGAACCCAGACTTTGTTTCCAGTAGTCAGCTGAGAATTACTTGTTAATACCTCTACTCGTTGACAAGAATTTCAAGCATTTCTTTCCTCATCACTGTCACACATACATGTATACAGGTTCAGTCCTGATGCTCAGTACATTGCCGTGGGCTCTGAGGACGGCTGTGTGGATTTCTACGATTTGACTCAAGGTCCCTCCCTGAATCGTGCAGGTTTCTGCCGAGGTATTCCAAGCTTTGTGTTCCAGCTGGATTTTTCGGCAAATAGCAAATACATCCAGGTGAGTTGGTATTTATGTATTTATTTATTTATTCCATTTCTTTACCCAGGGTGTGCCCAAACGGTTTCAAACTGGTTTCCATTGGGGCCCTGCGAACATAAATTAATACAATAGTTAGAAACTCATGATGGAAAGTAAAATTGACAAATACGACAAACATTAATATTTACAAATGCAGACCATTACAACATCATACACGTGTGAACATTTAAATAATCAAGGCATTAATTAAACACTGACCACGGGATGGGCGAAAATCCCGCACAAAAAAACCTTATGGGAAAAAAAAGAACACAGGGAAATTCCCGATCCGGCTCCACTGAACATTGGCAACCAAGTTAACAACTCCATAGATCAGCATTTGGGACTAACAGCACTGGTCATGGCCTTCCATAGTTCTGATTTGAATGTCCCTAAGGAGTCTATACTTCTGAGTTGCTCTGGCAAATTGTTCCATTTTTTGGCACCTTTCACTGCAAAACTTGAGTGTAGCATTCTTTTTTGGCTAAAGGGACTTTAAGTGCCTTGGTATCACAGACTTCTGCAAGGGGAGACCATGTTACCCAGCAATCACCAAAAAAGAAGATCTCCCTGATATCAATATTGATTTGCTGACAAATATGGGCTGCCAACCAACATGTTCTGTAGTGTTGCTTAAAAACTGGTTCACTGTCTGTACTTATAGGCAGTATTTCACCTGGATTTTTGTTTTCCATAGCTTGTGTGCAGAAATTAAGTTACAAATGAAAGCCTCATCAGTTTTGAGAAATTGAATATTTAAGAAATTAAACATTACTTTCCATGCAATGTTCAGAACGTTAAATGCTGAATATAAGGTGGTATGCCTTCTTTGCCCATTACACACGTAGTTGTTTTAAAACAAGGTTAATTTATCAGATGTCATATTTTGAAATGTCTCTACATTGGCATATCAAATGTTGTTTTATATACTTGTGCAGGTTGGCACGGGAGCATATAAAAGGCTACTGTACGGAGTACCAGGTGGCAATCCTTTCACTGATACTGCAGCTATAGATAAGATCACATGGGCCACATGGACTAGGTAAGGTGTTCATTATCAGGGTATTTGTTGAATCTATCTCAGGTCTGCTGACACATCCTGCACATCTTGTTTTTCAATAATTCCTTGCCATATAAAAGAAACTTCATGGATCACCATCTACCAACTACAAGGGGTCTATGGGTATTTAACTTGGTTGACACTGGATGACGTGAGATGGATTTTTGAGGGTTTGATTGATTGGACTATTTGGACATTGTTTGCCATTCACTTGTCAGACGGTGTGACCTTGTGGTTCTTTGCTTCCTGTATTCCCCTGTTACAGGTTCAATCTTTGTCAGAACCATTTCGATGACTTTTTAATCCCTGCCTTTTTTAGGATTTTCATCCTCTGGGTGTTTCATTTCTAGACATTCTCTGGAAGTTTTATAAACTGAAAAAAGTCTTTCCTCATTTCTGTTTAATCAAAGTCAGAAGTTGATAGGGAAAAGTGCCACAGCACCAATTTTGCGAGCTGGGAAAATAAAACCAAAATTGAAATTTATGGGTTATCTTTATGTGCCTCTCCTGGTCATAATCAGCGTAGTCATAAAAGAGTTTTATGAACAGTCTTGTTGGCAATGCTCATACTGTTCAACTGAAAAAGTAAGAACATGTAAAAAGCATGTAATATAAGACGGTCATACCTCTGTTTTAAATACTTTTTTTTTATTGACTCAGGGTAATCATATTACAAGGCAACCAAATTGCATGCTACACACACCATTATACATCACATCAGTAGGCCTTGTGTGATATCAAACCTATGGGTTGTGCACACACATGCATGTGCCCCCATAATATACAGGATAATGTGACATGTCATGTGACAAGGCAACCAAATTGCATGTTACACACACCATTATACATCACATAAGTAGGCCTTGTGTGATATCAAACCTATGGGTTGTGCACACACATGCATGTGCCCCCATACTGTACAGGATAATGGAGGGACTGCTTATGCTCAAAGATTCCTTTGTCACACTTAATCTTCTGTAGAAAAACAAGTGAATGTATCAAGTAAGGATATGACAAAACAATTGTTGACTGCTGTGATGTGGGATATGAGGCTTTGAACACCCTCAGGCCTTGGGACGTATAATACCCTTGACTTTGCTTCGGGCATCATCCATCCTCCATGTGTTTAAAATGTCATATCCTACATCACAGCAGTCAACGATTGTCAAATAGCTACTTGTTTCATACAAAGGTGTTCATTTATTTTTGCTTTTCCTAAATTCTGTGAACTTAAATTCAAATGCAAGTGTTTTTTTCAGTACCAAAGCTGTTGAGTACAAGTTGTTGAATTTTTTCTGTATTGTAGTGTACTCGGATCTGAAGTTGTTGGCATCTGGCCAAGAAGTTCCCAGAATGCCGATGTGAACTGTGCTGCAGTGACAGGCATGGCTAATGCTCTGGCCACAGGTGACGATTTCGGATTCGTCAAGTTGTTCAAATTTCCTTGTCCTGACAAATATGTAAGTAATATTTTGTTGGAGAATTCGCGGTGTTTAAGTCATCCTGTTTAAATATGCCTTGGAAAAAAATGAGGTCCACAATTTAAATGTAGTTCTGCCTTGAAACTTTTACCGAAAAGATCATGCAGAGCACCACTCATTGACATCAGGTACAAAACCTGCATTGAGAATTTGAGTACATTTGAATGTGACAGATTAGATGTTCTGAATCTCAAGAAATTCTGAATCTCAAGTGACACTTGTGTTATAAACAAAATTTTATCAGAAACTTTGGATTGTGTTAAGACCTCTCTCTGAGCTTCAGGTTTGGGCCTTTCCTGATGTTCTTTTTCCACATTATGCACTCTTCAATGAATAATTGTTGGTACTTCATTGTGCTTTCTATGATTTGAGGAGACACGATGTTCTCTCTTTGCAAGGTTGTACCGATTTCGCTGTTGCTAATATATTTTAAACCCCCCCCCAAAAAAATTTCCTTTTACATTTTAGGCACCACACAAGAAGTATGTTGGCCATTCAGCCCATGTGACTAATGTGAGATTCTCATACGATGACCGACACCTTATCAGTGCAGGCGGGGAGGACTGTTGGTAAGAAGTTTGGTTTTGTAAAAAATAAACATACATTACTTTGCAGGGGTGTACATGTATGTAATAACTGGTGCAAAGCACCATCACGGCTATCTACCCTCGTACCAAGGATTTCACAGTTACAACACAGTGGACATGACACATCAACTGTGAGAAAGATCACCATTATCCATCTATTTTGCGGCCCAGCAATATTGCCAGTGCGCTTGACGCATGAATGATACATGTGCTCTTGTAGCATATCACATGATCAATTCGTGACTAATAAAATTTCAGTATCTATGACCATGCCTGTGGTACGACAATTCTTGGTGCGTCTCTCTGAGAATCTGCAACATTTCAGGTGGTGTTAGATAAGTCTGTGTTAACAGACAGAACTGAGCAAATGATGGGCGAATTTCTCTCCAACTTAAATGATTTGGGGTTTTTTTGTCTTTCTTCCGACAGCTTGTTTGTGTGGAAGTGCACATGATGAATTCCATTGGTAAGGTTCAAGCAGTCAGTACTTCTCATCCCAAAAGAATACCAGTGATGTAACTACTTTAGAGGTGACTTTGAGGTTACAGCAGCCATAAGACATCTTGGATTCCAATCTGGCCGCATTCAAATGGTTTGCAATAAGCTACAGGAATCACAGCCAACTGTGAAAGCTGACTATGTGCATTTTTATATTTCATTAACATTTCCCACTATTGCCCGGAGTTGGCAATATTTTTGTCAGTATTTATTATAAAACCTTGGACAAGGCACAGGCAATAGACAATACAATAGTACTCAATATTGTACTTCAAGCTTCTCCACGCAAGTATACCTTATAATACCAACAAGGGTCATAGTCACGAACACAGATACATGTAGGCAATAGCAGAGAGTGGGAAATGGTATGCTTGGTAGCACTGTACCCAAGACACAAGGTTAGGGGTGTGAGAATTCGGCTTTTTAGCCGATTTCAGCTTTATTTTGTTTGGATGTTGACACTGATTGTCAGCTTTTTTTGTACACCTGGTCTGTAGAAAAGTATGGGAACTTTTTACATTTCAGCTTTTTGTTAGCTGTTTTCAGCTTTAATTTGAAGTGGCCACTCACACCCCTGCGAGGTGTGAACCTGTTTGGTGTGCAAATCTTTAGGTTATTGACAGTTATGCTTTAATCCAGGAACCATAAGCATAGTGAAAGCATGCCCACTGTCACTTCCACAATGTCCTGGGTAGTCAGTGATGCCATACCTAATGAGACTGCCTGTTGGCCACAACGCACAGTCTGAAGGTAGTGTCTTTGAAAAATGGCTGTTTCTAAACACAGCCTATGGTTACAGTTTCTCCACCGTCATTGCCAACAGCCCATAGGAAACCATTATGTTCTGTGTTTTTTATTGTGCAGAAAACCATCGCTGCTCTTCTGTGTTAATGGGCCCTTATGTGAACCCCATTTTGTTTGCTTTGTAGCAGTAAGTAGATCCATGCCAACACTCAGTGTGTTTGAAATCAGCGCCTTTTCTGTTAGGGTTGTGTAAAGTTTAGAATTCTTCTCGATAGACTTCAAAAAAATGGAATCAGAAAAACTCACAGATTGAGAGAACTTTTGCAGTGCCCACCTTGTAAGAAAATTGAACTGTTTTGTATCAAGCACTGTGACCTATTTTGCCATTATTGGCTTCAGTATTTTTTTCAATTTATTTCATTTTATTTATAAATTTCTTTTATTGTCAGAATTGAGAAAGGTCTGAATGGATTCTTTTTATTTATGTAGTTTTGTTTTGGTGGGAGGAGGAGAAACAGAGAATCTTCCCGGAATTTCCATTTGCACTGCCTCCATTGTGTTTCATATCTGCATTTCATTTCAACAAGAATTATGTACATGGACTTGTTGCTGCTGGCTGAAAAGGTCACACTCAGAGAATCTTTTAACCCCCCCATGATTTGTTTCAATTGCTTTTTGCTGTAAATTATGGAATTCTAAACGATTTTCAGAGGTGAGTTGTTCCTTGTTTAAATCATGCTTGAAGTACCAGTACAGTAAAACTTTCATGTATGGTGTCTGTTTGTAGATTTTATCTTGACAGGTCGCATGATGGTCAGTGTGGTTACCATGGGAACTGTCCGATTCTTCTTGCAAGTGTAGGTTTGTACTGAAAATCAAGATAACTTGACATTTGTACACTTCTGTGTGAATTGCATAGTTTTTCAGCGTGAAGATCTCTGTACATTCCTGGTGTTCGTCCAGTTTCACTCTTTTAGTCTCTAAACTTAGGGTTTCTGTATTGTAACCAACGTTCAGTGTATGTGCCTAAACTATTGTATTAGATTGAAATATAAAGAATGGATTACTTACCATTCCCATCTTTGAATGAATAATCTTAGATTCAAAATTGAACGGCGCTGTTACAGAATTCTAATGAGCACTTCCAATGCCTGTATCACGCCTTCTGTTTAAATTCTCAGGACCCTTGTGGTACCGTTCTTCAAAATCTTATCAAATCAGATGTTTGGTGTCGGAGTACAATGGTTGAAGTTAGTCTAGTAGATAACAGGGTTTATTACATGAAGAGTTCTCGTGCACATACTGCAGTTTTTCCAATCATCCAAGTACATTTTGGATCAGTCTTCTGACCTTGTCGTCTTCAAGCTTTGTTTGTTTATAGTATCAAGTAGGAAAGGAAAGTGTAGTCGGGAAGGTTTCATGTCCACTTGTATTTGACAAATAATGTTGAAATAAATGGTGTAGTTTTTCCATTTACTGAGCAGTTAGTCACTCGCTATTACTGTAATATTTCATTTTCAGTGGCTTAATGAAGTTTTACTTTATACTTGCGTATCTGCTCTTTGTCATTTGAGGGTGCCATTCCATTTGAAAAGCATACTGATTTTTCTTGAGGAAAGAGTCATGAAAGGGGTCAGTGGAATGGACCATGAATTTTTTTTTAAATGACTAGAATTTTTAATGCGGGAGCAGTTACTATTATACTGAAAGTATAGCTGGAATGAACATCCCTGCTTGGTATTAATTTCTATACAATATATGTCATTGATTACTATATCAGGTAACTGGTATGGACAATTCTGTCACTATGACGGCATTGTAGTTTACATTGTTTTATTTGGTTTACTTGCATAGCACAGTAAACATTAAGTTTATTTTTCTATGAAGTAAAGTCAGTATCCCGGTCTTTCTTCATACAAGTATTTTGGAGCATGCATGGAAACATGTGAATCCTTGAATTGTGCTGCATAAAAATGGTAATGTTGAAATGCTTATCAATGTTTTACCTTTGTACCACTGAATTTCATCAATGGTTTCAAAATTTTCTCTTTACTTGTGTGACTGTTTGAGAAATTCTTGTTCTTTGGAATTGTATAAATAAGGTATTAAGTTTGAAGTGTCATTTTAATGTTTGGTTTTTTTGTGCTAAAAAAAATGAATTTTTGTTGATCATGACTCATTTTGTGCGATTTTCTTTTCCTAATTGCAGTAATGAAGTTTCTGTAAGTTCACTTTTCAACTTGATGTACATATTTGACATCTTTTCAAATTTCTGTAATAAATGTGGTGGTACGTGCCAGACTGAATTGATGGCACCCCTTCTGTGCAATTGTTTGGTAACTTCTTGCAGTTCAAAATTTTGATTTATTACCTCCTTTGCTCTGCATAACCATGCATGAACAGCCTTACTAGATGTATACAGATGTACAAATAGGTATAAGAATGCATTACTTTGTGTAGATATGCAGTCTATACTTGAAACCTTCGCCTCATTGAACTTGCAGCTTTCTCCCAGCCTCTTTGATTTCATTTGCTGCTGTTCATTGTGATGATGATTCTTGATATCTGATTGGCTAACACGCTAGGTAAATGACTTATATTTAAGACTCGATAAAGATGAGTAAGTTAGGCGGGCATTTCCCTGCATCAGAAATTCTCTCAAATGCCAAATGACGAGAAGAAAAAACAATCATTATTGCAAAGAAGAGTGAAGCTATAAGGTCAAAGCAGGAACAAAGGGAATAGACAAAAGTTGCTAGGACTATAAAAATAGGCTCAAATTTAAGCATAAAGTGTATTATGCTGCACTCTGAGTGAATGGGCATCACTGGTCCTCATCCATCTCTTTGTGCTCTCTTTTGCTGGCTCCAAGCTCTACACCCTGGTACACTGCCAGGCTAAACAATGGGAGGGGGTGATATGTAACATGGCATCATTTGGCACAAGAACCTCTCTGATGAGGTTATTGTCTGGGGTGGAGGTGTTCTCTCATTAAACATAATGGCCACATGTGTGAGACCAAGGAACTGTGCACATCCCCCAGATATCAGTTGTTGGTCTCACAAACAATTCTCTCTCTACAGTCCCTCGTCTAGATACATAAGGATTAGACTCCAGGTGAGCACCCTGTTCCAGTGAAACAACTCATGCGATGAAATCCAAAGTGCTTCCCAATATAAACAACCAGGACAAAAGTTGTCTCCTTGCTGGAGACAGTATGACTGTGATGATTATTTTCAGGATGAAAGTCTATCAGAACTGTCAGCAGTTTTTCTATTTTTAACGTGGAATATCTCAATTTTACACATAAGTGATATTAATAGACTCAAATCTAACAGTGATCTTCAAGAGTTTAATTAATGCAACTCCTCAGCAGTACAGCCATTCTCTTTGACTGCACTAGTCCTAGCAGGGGCCAGTAGTAGTGTGTATTTGTTGCAGACAACCACAGTTTCTCTGCAGATTTGTTGATTGTCCTTGACAAAAAGTTAGAATGTATCAATGGACTGTCAAAGTTGGGATAGTCATTTTTATCATTTGCGTATTTTAGTTCAAGCACACACCAAAAATCTAATGACATGTCACAGGCTGACTCCAAGCATGGTCTGAGGCCCATGCTGGTTCGTTTATTAAAAGTCAGAATTTTGCTCAGGAAAGAAATTACACAGATTGCAATAATTAAGTTGATCCTCCTTTCTCCTGGGACACAAGTATTGTTATTAGTCAAGCAAGTACATCACAGAGATCATACACACAGTGTCAAGAACAGAACAACAAAATACAGAGATCAACGACCGGTATTCAGCTTGTAGTGTTTCAGTGGTGGAAGAAAAAATGGATGACGAAAACGGCTCCACAATGTCTCAAATTGAAAAAAAAGGAGGAAAATTATCAGCGATTGGTAGCAATTTCAAAATGTCTAGAGTATTTAGGTGAAGCACAAACCACTGAAATATCCACACACAGAACAAGTGTTAATGGATGCAAGGTACATGAACTTATGTCAATGAAACTTAATACAGTGTCAAATGAGGGAAGGCCTTAGCTGGTTTCATGGCAGTGATGAACCAGTAACATTGCCACGATATTACATCACACGGTGAACAAAAGTAGAGTGGTGTTCATGTGGCAAAGTTTCGAACTGCGCTACCTCCACAATTACTTTGTTGTGCCAGTACACATCTGCCGTCAAACAAATTTTATTGTGCAGTCTTAAATGTAAATTCCTTGGCAAATCAAGACAAAAGGATAGTATTAACTGTCAAGTTAACCAAAGGAGAATTCATGAATTCTTCACCAGACAAGATTACTAAGCATACACGTCGGATATGCTGAAGTACCTGTAGAATCATTTTAAAAATGCAGATGTCCCATCGCCGAGACTTGCTCAAGTTGGTAGTGGGTACTTGCACCCAATGTAGGGACGTACTTGTCAGCATCAGTCTGTGACATGGTAACATTGTTTACAACACATTTTCCCTGACAGATGAAAAGAACGGCAGTGAGGATCCTTGAAACAAGCCCTACCGCATTTGATCAAATGCTTGACGTGAGTGCTCGTGTGGGCGTGGCCCAAGTAGGGTGTGGTCAGGTCAGCATCTCTCTTGGTTACAGTGTTGCAGTGAATGAGCCTCCATTTGTTCTTCAAATGTTTCTCACATGCAACTCGAACCAGAACAAGGAAAACCAGCAATTTCTGAAGGGTGATGATCAAATCCAGGACAACTTTACTCTT